GTTAAATAAAAAAGAGGGACTTCAGTTAAGATGGAAAACCTAAATAATAATAATAAGAAAAAATGAGCAACTCTTGAAAAATAACTACTTGACTTTAATTGATATGCAAATTTTTTATATCATTTCTCTCGGTTTAGCCTTTCTTGAAATTCAACTACTTGACTTTCATTGATACATGTATGCACGTTTAAAGTTTCTTTCGGCTTTTCGACTGAAGACTTTAAATTCATCACAATGACATGATATTGACTATTTACGTGATCTATCTACTCCTGAATTTACTTGATTTCTTGATCATTTCACATTTATAAATATGCATTTCACATTTAATTTATCAATAACAGCCCACATAATGTTTTTGTTTTTGTTTTTATTTATTGCCTTCAGTACTATTAATTCACATTATAACATGGCCAGCATCTGATAGCAAAACACAGCTGAACATATTAAAGGAATTAAACCATTGCTGTATTTAAAGCTCGCTGTGAAACAGATCTAGATTGTGGAAGACCGGAATTCTCAACAGTGTTTTGACAGGGAAAAAGAAATTGGAGCATAAAGTTGTCCGCTGCTGAAAAAAATCTAAGCCTTGAAACAATCGAAATCTTTTATTGCTTGCACAAGAAATAAGAACTTTAATTTCAAAACTTTCAAAAACAAATTTTTTTCAACTAGTACACTCATATCTTCCGTTTAAGATTAGTAGTTGATTTACTTCGACCTTCTCGCTTTGTTTACAAACATAGGAAATGTTCTCTGTGTTGAACGATTCATCACTCATCACTAACGCGGCAAAACTGTTCTCCTCATAAGCATAACAGCGCAAGAATTAGTTTATTAGTCCCCTACCGGTGAAACCGGAGGGGACTATAGGTTTCCTCTGAGTCTGTCCGTCCGTCTGTCCGTCCGTCTGTCTGTCTGTCTGTCCCTCTGTCTGTCTGTCAGTCTGTCCCACTTGGTTTTCCGCACTTTTTTCCTAAACGCTTGCAGATATTGAGCTGATTTTTGGAATGTGAGTGTATCTTGATGAGTTACAGATCAAGTTTGCATTTCGTTCCGCTTTATTCATTTTTGACGGAATTACGGCCTTTTGAATTTTTACGGGTTTTCCACAATTTTCTTCTAAACGCTTGTAGATATTGAGCTGATTTTTGGTATGTGGCTTTACCTTGATTAGTTATAGATCAAGTTTGCATTTCTTCCCGCTTCATTAATTTTTGACGGAATTATGGCATTTTCAATTCTTAACGGGAACCAGATTACACTTGCCGGTAGGGGACTAGTATTGCTAATGCAATACTCTCAGAATGCTTGTTTATATATCACCAGCACGCCAATCTTTTAAAAATAAACTGGTTTGTACAATGTTCAATTTTGTGAATTTTCTTTAAAAATCTGTTTTCAAAATACTTATTATTATTAGTCCCCTACCGGTGAAACCGGAGGGGACTATAGGTTTCCTCTGAGTCTGTCCGTCCGTCCGTCTAGCTGTCTAGCTGTTTGTCTGTCCCTCTGTCTGTCTGTCAGTCTGTCCCACTTGGTTTTCCGCACTTTTTTCCTAAACGCTTGCAGATATTGAGCTGATTTTTGGAATGTGAGTGTATCTTGATGAGTTACAGATCAAGTTTGCATTTCGTTCCGCTTCATTGATTTTTGACGGAATTACGGCCTTTTCAATTTTTACGGGTTTTCCACAATTTTCTTCTAAACGCTTGTAGATATTGAGCTGATTTTTGGTATGTGGCTTTACCTTGATTAGTTATAGCTCAAGTTTGCATTTCTTCCCGCTTCATTAATTTTTGACGGAATTATGGCATTTTCAATTCTTAAGGGAACCAGATTACACTTGCCGGTAGGGGACTAGTATTGCTAATGCAATACTCTCAGAATGCTTGTTATATAAAACATTTATTAATTTATAAATCAAAACTTTGTTTGCCCGACATGTCACTTTTGTTGACCGCATCTCCCTAACACTATTTTCTTTCGCGGATGGACACAAATTCCAATAAAATTGATAATAAATATTTATGTTTATAAACACTTCAAAGCATATCAGGAAACAGTATTCTTGTTCTGTAGATTATGAAAACTGTAAATAAACCAAAATTATACAAGAACCGTACGCAAAATACTCAAATGAAAATGTGATTAGTTTCGATACATTAGGGAATCTCTTACAAGTCACATACCATGAGTTGATACCATCAACTCGTAAAAATTAATGGGATCTTAATTCCATCAAAAATCAATGACGCAGAACAAAATGCAAACTTAATCTATAACGTATTACAATAGACATATACTAATATAACTCTCTCTCTCTCTCTCTCTCTCTCTCTCTCTCTCTCTCTCTATATATATATATATATATATATGACTGGTAGAAAATAAAATGTATTTGAAGTATTATATAACTTAAAACACGGTGCATTATTTATGGTTTTCCGATCTTTGGGTTCTGAAAATCAGGGCTTTGGGTAATTGAAATGTTTACAGAAATGTTTCTGAATTATCAAAGTAATGTGTATTTACCCATTGTATTTCTTTAAAATTCATCATTGTAGTTAATCATATAATTTAGGAAAAATTATCAAATCTCAAATATGATTTCAGGAAACGCGAATTAAAGTACCTGCTATGCATTTTTTAATTGAAAATTGATCAACAAATATATTTCAGGATAAAGAAAAGCATAGGTATCTATGCCTTTGAAGAAAATTGCACGTTTTCTTCTATTATTTAGTTCTTCTTCTATTTACTTCAATTGTTATATAATACGTACTTTAAACTTCCTTACATCTACATGAAAGAGAATTCTCCGTTTGTAACTGGTTTATGAAGTGAATATCTAGTCTGGTTTTCTTTCTCTAATTTGAGAGGTAATGCGCTTAAAAATTCCGTCTGAAGATGCTCTTGAATTACTGCAGGGTAATGCATCGAGAATGATGCATACAGGTCAAAATATCTTGGAGAGCAATGTGTTTTCAATACATGAAAGGGACTTTTAAATTCTGAGAAACAGTATCAAAGCCTCGGCAAAAATATACAAGAGACGTATTATATACCAGGAGGTACTAATAATAAATACTTTTTGAAAGTATCAAAGGTTGTATTTTTTAGCCTTAACTTCAAAATAAATAAACACTTCTTATGCTTTACTTATTTTACAAGATATTTATTTAAACATTTCCTAATCAAAATGCTTTCAATCAACGTCATAATTTCATATATTGTTTGCACTTCTATGCAAAAGTCCGAAGAACTATCAAAGGTGTATTGCACTGATTGAATATAATTACCAGATGAGACATTTTATAAAGTTACTTATTTTTTCAGAGATTTCTTTCAGAAAAGACTACAGTTTGAAAAGTGATGAGGACTACTAGTTTTAGATTGAAATTGCATCTTTGATCTCCTGTCAAACACGAATGCTTAATACAATCAGAATAGAGGGCCATGTGACATTTTGAAAGCACATAGTAAAGTTATAGTTTGAGGTAGTACATGGGTCATAATAATGCTATTCATAGAGTTGAATGTTTTTAAAATGTGTTGATATCCGATATCTAATATATTCACAATAGATTTAATGTTTAATGTGTTGAAATTTGATATTCAATACAACATTCACATCAGAGTTGTATGTAAGAATTGTTGATATCTGATGTCTATTACATCCGCAATAGAGTTGTATGTTTAGTGTATTGATATCTGTTATTATTTGTAGGATGGATACCGTAACATCACTGAGACGTTATGACATTATGTCTTGGTGCTAGGGATTACTAGACACAGAATCAATGCTGACTCCAGAAAGATGTTAACTGAGTGCTAGAATGGAACTGAGAACACAAAGTTATTGGTGACTTCAAAGACATCTAATCTAGAATTTACTCGACACACTATTAAAGGAAATTATTGATTAAACAGAAGAGGAAATGGATGACTTCATTCAATGTACTTTGCAAAAACACTTTAAAACAACAGCAAGAAATTCCAGAAGTGCAAAATTTCAAATATCACATATCTAACAAATAAAAAAGAACAAAATACAAGGTCAAAGATAACAATGGCAAATGTGTGCAGATTCATGATGTCAAATAAAGGATAATATGAAAAAAGAAGCCCAGTAAGTTCTTTTATTAGATTTTCTACAGTGAAAAACTGTAATTTATTTATTGAATAAAAAGTGATATTCTGTCACAGTGTGACAGACTATCTGGAGTGTGGCAAACTCATGATTTTCCTTCCCTTCAGGAAGAGTGTTGTAAAAAATACTCCCTGGCCTGTTATACGATAGAGAGAGCGAGCAAATAAACCATCCGGACAGAGACTAAAACTTCCAGGCTTTTTTTTTTCCAAATATGTTGCTAAAATCCATTGTTTACAATGTTTTCAATCTCACAATTGCTAAGCTGCGACATCTAAACTGCTCAACTATGACGTCACAGGCTTTGACACTGTGTTACGAAAAGACAGAGGCAAAAAGGAAATCAAAGAAAATGTAAGAACATTCAATGTTTTTTTTAGTTTGATATGGAATTTATTTCACTCGTGAGACAGCTTGTTTTAATATTTTCACTTCGCACTTGAGAAAATATCAGAAAATCCGAACTATAAAACATTGAATATCCTCTATTTATTTTCTCTTTGACAAGCCATAGCTATTGTACTTTTTGTTTTATTACCCGCTACTTTTGAATCTGTGACAGTGTTTGGCAATAATTAAATACAATAAATTGGTCCCTTGTATTTTGTATACTTTTGTGGATTTTATAAAATAACATTTAACAGTCAATTTCTTGAATTGTATCACAGATGCCCACTTTAAATTTCTTTTAAACATAGATAAGACTAATATTGGCTATAAATATCTAAATAAAAACTATCAAAATTCAAACTTAACTTTTGAAATTTTGGAAATAAAATGTAAACATGATTAATATGTATACACTTGCTTTCGAATATTTATTAAAGTCGTGGAAAAATCCTGTGCCGTTACACGGCTTATATGTATATATGTTCGTAAACTGTTCTGTGTTATTCCGTATTTGTCTATGTGAACTGTTTTAGTCTACCGTTTATGTCCGTATACTACTTGTGTTACTATTCAGTGTTTCTCGTGCTTTCAACAACTCAACTGGCGCCTCTGCCGCACCACCGTTTTACCATCATGTTTTAAGACTTTAGAGCCACAATAGAGTGAGTAAATTATGCTTAATCAATTTAATGTACATTTTATTTATATAAATTCAGTTATGAAATATTTCTTTGTGTAAATTTAACTTTAAACTTGCAAAATTCAGTGTCAATGTCAATGATGTGTATTCAGTCTTATTTTGTTCTTGTTTTGTAGCCTTTATCGTAATATCATCTATATGTCATCCTAAATAAAATTCTGAAATGAGGATTGAGGCGTCATAATAAAGGTCTATTACGTACAACACCATGGCTGATGCGAACGTGGTAGCGGAAGCCCCTCATACCACCGAGGACGGCGTTAAAGCAGAAACAGACCCTGACCCGGCGGAGGAAAGAAACACCATACCAACAGAATTAGTATAGAGAAACGAAAAAGAACTCTGACAGAAAAAGGTAAAGAACTTAATGATGCTGAAGTTAAGAAATTCAACTCAAAAATCGATTTAATATGGAGTGAAATAGAGAACATTCCCAGTGAAATTGAAAACATTAGTCATAATACAAAAGCATTGCGTGCTCTGGGTTCCAGTCTCGACTATCTTGGAGATAGATATGAGAAAGAGTGTGTGTTATTTTGTGAATATCTTACCGGAACAAATACATTAGAAAGCCAGCAGCAGTTGGACTCCCACATGGCTACCTTTGACAAAGGAAAACGTATTATTCAGGAATTAAGAAAAAGAATAAGGGATACTCGTATGGAAGCAACAGAAACTGCCTCACGGAGGTCCGCTTCATCAAGGACGGCGTCATCCCATGTCGATTCAATTCTATTCAAGAAACGTGTGGAAGCAGAGACGCAACGTGCTAACATTCTATTCCGAGAGAAGGAACTTGCGATCCTCAAAGAAAAAGCATCACTAAAGGAATATGAAGCAAAACAACACGCTGAAAGTGAACGTAAGAAAGCAGAGCTCGAGGCTACTCACCACCTATTAGGAGAAAAAAGAAAAGCAACACTCGTAGAGGCAGAAGTGAAAGCAATAGAGAACTTTGAGTCGGACAGTAGACAAGGGTCTGTTATACCATCAGATATTGATGCACCGAAAAATCGCAAACAGTATACTGCTCGATACATCAGTGAACACAGTGATAATAGTATCGATCGCTACTAACCAGTCTTCAAATTGTGCTAATGGTTCCATAGATCCTGAGATTAATCAAGACATACCCCATAAGAAGGAGACTCAGTCTAAACTGAACCCTATGGCGAAAGAATTTGTAAGTCAACATGTGAAAAATTCTGAAGACCAGACTGTCGTAAGTGACCTTAAAAGATTTCTACTCAAGAAGGATTTGTTATTCTCAAGATTTTCGCAATTCCGAGGGGTTATCAAAAAGTTCGTGGACTGATGCGATAAAATTAATACTATGTAGTCTGTGCTTACAAAATTTATGAAAAACATAAATCAACAAAAGTTTAAGAAATGTTGAAAATTGTAACTTGATACGTTGATAATTTGCCAAATTATTCTAAAATAAAAAAGACATTATATGATCACCCGGCGCTGTCGCCGTTTAGTTTCATGACGTCCGACAACGTCATTGTTTCTCAATGTCCACTTAATCTACTTTATACACTTATCTTGATGTGATTACCTGGAGTTAAGTAAGGACTTAAGTCCGTCTTGTTTATATGACTTTACAATGTCATGAACAGCTGCTTTCAATGCATATAATATTGTAAATGTATCTATACATAAGGAAAGATCCTCACTTGATTATACCAGAATACTTAGCTTGATGGAGTTAAATTTCTACCACACATGATCAACGTCACTTTTAGACGTGACTGATTTTTGACACCCTCACTACAAATTGACTTTAACTGTGCATCTTTCATCTCTCTGAATCTTTTTGGCTATTTAAAACGAGTACTCTGGATGTTTTTTATTTTTCTGTAGCCCGTTTAAACATTCCCTAGGTCTATACCAGTTTTTCCAGGTGCAAAACTGTAAAGAATGTTGGAAACAGAAACCCCTCCCCCTTCTTGACGTCATTTTTGAGCCCTTAATTGTTTGTACACTCCATATAAATTTACGATAAAATTTCATAGAATTTACAGAATGGGGTAAAAATTGCAATTTTTACGGAACAATTGTGTTGTACCACATGTCTGGATTAACCGGATTTTTTGACGTCAAATGCTCATATCAAAAGAGTTTTTCTCAGTTACACTCAGGTAGAAAAAACGTCATATTTTAGGTTGCGCCGCTTGGACATACCATTGCTACTAAAAACAATAACAATTTATTAAAAAATAAAACTTATGATTTATGGTTTTTTCTTTCGATAGAAAAGATGAAGCTAACTAAATGTATTAAAATTCATTGATGTACCTAAAGCGGTTTTAATTTTATGGCGCTAGTCCACGAACTTTTTGACACATGGAAAGCCAGTTTCAAGAGTATAACAGAGGAACTGAGAGTTACACCATTTGAAGAAATGGACTTACTAGTAAAGTTCTTAGGACCAGAATCTTCAAAATTTGCAGCAGCATCAGAGCAGCAAATACAGCATACCCAGAACGAGGCCTTCTTAGGATATGGAAAAGACTCCAAGAGCGTTATGGAAGCCCTGAATTAGTAGAACACGCTTTAAAGAATAAACTCAGAGACTTTCCCAGAATTAGTAACAAAGACAATAAGCGTTTATATGAATAAGCTGACATTCTGGCAGAAATCGAGGCTTTAAAAGAAGATCCAAACTACTCGACATTATTGTCCTACTTTGATTCATCTTCTGGCATCATACCTATTGTGAATAAACTGCCTTTTAAGTTGCTAGAAAAATGGACAACACGTGCCGCTAGCTACAAAGCTAGGCTAAATGTTCCATATCCACCATTTGCTTATTTTGTTGAATTCTTACAAGAAATGAGCAAGATTCGAAATGATCCAGGATTTCAATATGAAGGATCCCTTTGTAACCCTGGACCAGTCCAAAACAGGAAAACCAAGAATACTACAGTTCTGTCATGTAAAACTGAAGTTGAACCAAACAAATATGTGGCTCCCAAAGGACAAAAGTACCCTATTCATAATACATACCACAACCTTAAAGATTGTAAAACATTTCGTTCCAAACCATTATCTGAAAGTAAGAAGATTTTGAAAAACTCTGGATTGTGTTTTCGTTGTTTGGACTCGAACCACTTAGCTCGTGACTGTAAAACATTAGTGAAATGTGAGAACTGTGATAGTGATACTCATCATACTGCTCTCCATGATTACAGATTCAAACACTTGGATCAAGGCGGGGAGAAAACCAATCACGACAAGACAAAATAAGTGTACCGTGATATGTGGAATGAACTTTAAGGTATCGGATGTACAATTGAGCATGAGAGCTCGGCATTTTCCGGAATGACCTCGGTAGATAAAGGGGGAAAGTAAAAAATCTTTAAATGCATATTTTTTTTTCATTCAACTGGATTAATACTCATATATAACAATTTTATGTAAAAGTTGATACCCGAAAATTATTTTTAAGTTTAAAAACCAAAATATCTAAATATCTCATGACGTCGTTATAAACAGTTTTCAATATGGCGGCGTCCATGTTGCAGAGGAATAAAAAAGGTCGCTTCAAAAAGTCGTCGAAAATTAATGTGTTAGTCGACCATAACTATATATCTGGTCATATTTGTGAAGGGGACACGTGTGAAACATGTTTTCCTGGTATGAAAAGTTTGATCAATAGCAAAAAGTTTAGTGCAAACGGGTGGCGAAATGGAAGACGGGTGATAGAGTGGGTGTCAGTTATAGATGCCCTGGAAAATTGCAGGCACTATAAATGCGGGCCTCTTTACCTTACTAAAAGAACCATCAAGGGTGAGATGAAACTTGGACTGGGCGGGTATCTGTATGTCCATCTGTACCTTTTGTCTGAGGCCCAACAGGATTCCTTATGGGAAAACGCACAGAGACGAGGAGCATGGCAAGGGGATGCCGAGTTTTTGTATAAATACAAAAATTGGTGCAGGTATGTTGTTTGCCAATATCTCTGATTTTATTGTCCTAATGATGTTATATTCTGTTGTAAATTTTATTAAAAGCTTGAAAGGAATAACAAACAAATATTCCTTGTAGCCATGATTGACAATGTCGGTGGACCCCAGCGAATGAACAATGTCTTCATCTATATTTTATGATTTCAGGCTTTTAGTAAAAGTGGTCTGTCTCTGGGTCATTCAACATGAAGTTCTCTAGCAAAGTAGATGAAGACAGGAAAAAGCTAAGAGAGAAGATGAGACTACCAGAGACCAAACGTCGTCGTCTTATCCTAAAACAAGAAAGAGCAACTCAAAAGGATGCATTTGAGGCTTCAGAGGGGTCCACTTATCAATCAGGTTAACTATTCTAGTAGATTTGAAATATATGATTTCTTAATAAAAGAAAGTTAAATCTGTAGGAAAGCAAATACTTTATGTTATATAGATATGTATGCTAACAATTTGAATAACAATGTTTGCATTGTTAGACGTTGGTCTTGGTGCAGAAGCTGACATTGAAAAAGTACCAGATCCCATTACCAAGCCAACATCTAGTGCTGTTCAAAAGCTGAAGAACATGAAGCCAACATTCATTGTTTTTGATCTGGAAACAACTGGGCTTAGTAAGTTGCTCATTATTTTAAGCCTATCCCTATTTTTAGCAAAAGTGGTTGCTTGTATTATCATTATAAATACTCTAAAATATCAAGTAAAAATTGAAGTAATTGTATTTCTGTAGTCAGACAAGGAGCCATGCCTCATATTACTCAAATTGGTGCTGTGGAGACGGAGTCTGGAGATTCATTCTCGACTTATGTTCTACCAAAAATACCCATAGAGCCTGGAGCAGAGCAAACGACAGGAATAGTCTGCGATGGAACATCAGTTTACGCTAATGTATCGAAAGTTGTTGCAGTTCCCATTCGTGACACGGTTTCAAATTTTCTTACCTTGTTGAGTACATTTAGGAATAAAGGAGTCATCATCATAGCTCACAACGGTCGAGTATTTGATTTCCGAGTCCTTTCCTATGCTGTTGAACGGATTGGTTTACAGAAACAGTTTCTTGAACATGTGTCAGATTTTACTGACTCGTTGTCTTTGATTCGATCAAAACATAAAAAACTAGAAAAGTATACACAGATATATCTTGCTAAGCACTTTTGTAAAGAGTCATATTCTGCACATGATGCTGTGGAAGATGTGAAAATGCTTTCCAAACTAATATTTATTGCTGTTTGTAAATCTGATCTGTCCAAATCTGCATATGATGCAGAAACACATTTCCTTCAAGAAAAGTTTAATGCGCAAAAGCCTTGTATCTGCCATCTTTGAGTGCTCTTGTTGGCAATGGTGTTCTAAAAATGAACATGGCAGAGAATGTTGCAGGCTCTGGACTTGGCTTGCATCATTTGAAAATAATTCATAAACGTGCAGGCGAAGATGGTCTGCGTAATGTTTTTTGTGCAAAAAACTCTCATGGTAAACCAAGAGTGACCAATGACTGTAAAGTGTTAGATACTGTAATACCCAAGTTGTGTCTTTTTTTCTCACAATAACAATGTACCTGTTACTAGGAAAAGATATTTTTATGTGTACCATAAATTTTTGCACTCATGTTTTTTGTGTGAAAAACTCGTTGTGTCAAGTTTTTTTTTTTTTTGTACTTGTTACTCTTTTTGAATAGTATTCAATTTTATGTGTACCACAAGTATTTCCACTTGTGCTTGTTTGCTTTATGTCCCTTCAAAAATATTTCACTCATATATACATGACAACTTGCTTTTTTATAAAAAAAAAAAGTTTTGACCTGTGCTTGGCATCTATGAGCAGTAAGTGATTTTTATGCTAGCACCTATTGTGAAATGTGATGTATTTGAACCCAAAACTTGATGTATTTTGTAAATTAGCTACTGTTTTACACATTGTAATATCCATATATTGTTTTTGTCTGATGCAGTATGATTTTTAGTGAGATGACATTGTCATAGCTACTTACATAAAACACAATCATGTTCAATAAGAGAAAAAAATTCTTACTTATAAAAGTGAATATTTTTTTATTCATTAAACAAAATTAACTTGTATGGAAATTCAATATTCATAATGGTTTTAAAGAGCAGAAAAACACAGTGATTGATGTGTAAATAACCATGTGATAAACTAGGTACAATCCTCCTTTCTTCAATATTATTTCTTGTATGTGTGTCAAGGGGAGGGGGTAAATTGGAAATTTTCTCTTCAAAATATAATTGAGAAAGATAAAATTAGTTATTTCAAAATATATTGTTTATTATTATCATCAATCATATTTTACCAAATATCAATTATATTGTACAGATTTTGGACATCACCAGAAAAATATGTTTTCCTGCATTATATTTCAAATGCTGGAGTTACTTCCCCATAGTAATTTGGCGGGAAAAATGCTTTTTTTAGAAACTTTATACCCATACCTATCAAATGAGTATATGGGATGTATACCTTACCATGTATCATTTTTTAGTCAATTGTACATCAGATACCTTAAGGGCAAATCGTGCTCTAAAACTATTCTGGTCAACGTCTATCCCACTGATCGTTCATTAGAGAAAAAGACTATTTATGCCATAATTGATGACCAAAGTAGTCGTTCACTCGCTCGTTCACAATTTTTTAATATGTTTGATATAAACACTGACTCTGTGACTTACACATTATCATCATGCAATGGTTCTGTGACACTCACTGGCAGATGTGCATAAAACTTTATCTTAGAACCAGTATTAGAAGGAAACCAAATTCATCTACAGACTGTGATAGAATGTGATAACATACCCAACTGCAGAGAGGACATTTCTACACCAGATGTGGCGCGCGCATATCCTCATCTAGCAGACTTAGCCACTCATATACCAGATTTGAATGATGATGCAGACATTTTGTTACTCATTGGAAGAGATCATCCAGATGCTCACCATGTTTTAACACGGAGAACTGGACCTCATGGAGCTCCGTTTGCACAAAAACTATCTATAGGATGGACAGTTATAGGAGAGTGTTGTCTTGATAAGGTACATGTACCTACTAACATTGTGACCAACAAAACACACATTCTACCATCAGGAAGAGGCTCGACATTTCCATCCTGTCCCTCTTACATGCATGTGTCTAAAGTTGTAGACAACCAATTTTATAGCGAGGAAATAACGACTACTGATATATTTTTGTGAAAACACCCCAGGACAATGAACCAGGCCTGTCAGTGAATGATCGAGAATTCCTAAAAATTATGGACAATGAATGTTACAGAGATGAGAACGGAAACTGGACTGCTCCACTTCCATTTAAGACCAGTAGAGAGAAACTTCCGAATAATCGTGAACAAGCCATGAAAAGAACTTTGTCATTTCTAGCTTCTTGTAAAAATAACAAGTTGAAATTGGAACACGCAAACTTGTTTATGGACAAAGTGTTTTCTAAAGGACATGCAGAAAAAGCAACAGAGCTTAAGGACGAGGAAGATCGTTGGTTCCTACCAATTTTTGGTGTCTACAATCCCAAAAAGCCAAACCAAATATGCATGGTTTTTTATTCGTCCCCAGCCTTTCAGGGACACTCCCTTAATTCTGTTCTACTAAGTGGTCCAGACTTAACCAACAGTCTACATGGGATTCTGTTACGATTCAGAAAAGAAAAAATAGCAGTGACAGGTGCCATTGAACAAATGTTTCACTCATTCAAAATTCGAGAGGACCACAGAAACTATGTACGATTTATTTGGTTCACAGACAATGACCCAACATTACCTTTAATGGAATACCGTATGTGTGTTCACCTATTTGGAAACTCACCTTCTCCAGCAGTAGCAACGTATTGTTTGAGACGATGTGTTCAGAACAGAGAGTGTGACCCAAGAGTTTGTGAATTCGTAGACAGAAACGTCTATGTAGATGATGGTCTCGCATCTTACCAAACGGATGAAGAGGCACTAGAAATCTTACAAAAACACAGACTACACTCAAAGAAGAAGGGAACTTGAGGTTTCATAAGTTTGCATCAAACAGTTCATACATCATGGATGTACTACCTCCAGACGACAGAGCTAAAGATTTATCTGACGTGGATTTACACTTAAATGTAGCGCCATTTCAACGAAGTCTGGGACTCATGTGGAATGTAATGTCCGACACATTTACCTCTCAGTTTGTACCTAGGGTCAGGGACCCTCCGCTAACAAAGAGAGGAATTCTTTCATGTTTGAACAGTCTGTATGATCCACTCGGATTTATAGCTCCTGTGATTCTGCAAGGCAGAGTCTTATTTCGTGAAGTGATAAACTTACCTGTTGGATGGGACGACATGGTTCCAATGAATATCGCCAATGGATGGAGAACTTGGTGCAACACCTTATACCAGCTGTCAAGTTTACAGATTTCTAGAACTATTGTTCCAACTTCCCTGGGAGAAAGTAATCGAAAAGAGATACACTTATTCTCAGATACTTCAGAGAAAGCCGTTTGTGCAGTGGCTTACTTACGTGTGATAACGATTGACAATGCACGGATACAGGTTGGATTTTTGATGGGAAAGTCAAAACTTTCACCCCAACTTGGTCACACAATCCCCAGACTTGAGTTGTGTGCAGCAGTTTTGTGTACAGAACTTGCAGCATTTGTTTTAAAACACATAGACACCACTATCCATGAAGTGAAGTTCTATACAGATAGTCGTATAGTCCTTGGATACATCTATAACCAAACCAAACGTTTCCATACTTACGTCACTAACCGAGTACAGCGTATCCGTCAGCACTCAACTCCAAAGCAGTGGAACTATATTTCATCTGAGGCAAATCCTGCGGACATCGGGAGCAGAGGAATTTTTGCGAATGAACTACCACACAGCATGTGGCTTCAAGGACCCGTTTGTTTACAACAACAGAGTTATCTATTGGAAAAAGAGGATTTTCCACTTATTGACACAGAAAAAGACAACGAAATTAGAAACAATAACATTGTTGCACAGAAAACGTGTTTAAACACCCATGAAGTGTACAAGAGGATAGATAGATTTTCTTCATGGACATCTATAGTCAGACAATTACTGTTCTCCGAAAAGTTGTGATGAAGAAACCTGGTTTACCATTGTTGGACCCTGTACACATGAACCGTGCAACAGAACTGTTCTTAGTGAAACTCTGTCAAAATGAAACATTTCCTATGGAAATCGCAAACTTGGCCAATGACAAACCATTATCTAAAGATAGATCGTTACGCTACCTGGATCCTTACCTTCATGATGGAATCATACGACTAGGAGGGAGAATTCGTACTGAAGATGCTCTGTCTGATGAACATGGCCCAATCATTATCCACGGGAAAACTTACCTAGCTCGTCTTCTTGTTCTACATTGTCATGAAGTTGTGAAGCATCAGGGAAGACATTTAACTAAGGGAGTTGTTCGTTCATCCGGATATTGGGTGATTGGTGGAAAGAGATTAATATCATCAATCATACATTCATGTGTTCGCAGAAAACTCCGAGGTAAACTGGAGCATCAGAAGATGGGAAATCTTCCAGAATGCCGCACAAAACCGTCACCTCCATTTACCTATGTGGGCGTGGACACATTCTGACCATGGGAGATTACTACACGCAAAACCAGAGTAGGTTCAGCTAACAGCAAATGCTGGGCTATCTTATTCACCTGTCTGACATGTCGAGCCATACATATAGAGTTAGTAGAAGATATGTCATCACCTACGTTCATCAACGCTCTCAGACGTTTCATAGCGATAAGAGGAAAAGTTACAGAATTTCGTTCGGACAGAGGTACGAACTTTGTCGGCAGTGCAGACGCACTAGAAATCACAGCAGTTAACATAGAAAGTTCGCCAGTGAAGACAGTGGATGCTCTTGGATCTTCAACCCACCCCACTCTTCCCACATGGGAGGGGTGTGGGAGAGGATGATTGGCATCGCTCGACGAATCTTGGATTCTATGCTTGTAAAGGAAACAAAGAAAAACCTTACTCATGATGTGTTAAATACTCTCATGGCAGAAGTTAGTGCAATCATAAATAGTTGACCGATAGTACCTGTATCAACTGACCCATTTCAACCCTCTGTGCTATCTCCGTCTACCCTGTTAACATAGAAGACCGAACTGGATGTTGGACCATTTGAGCCATTTGATATCAAGGATATGTACAAATCCCATTGGAAATACATACAGATCTTAGCCGACCAATTCTGGAGGAAGTGGCGCTCACAATATCTTCAGTTATTACAGTCCAGACGCAAGTGGGTCGACCCTCGGAACAATCTTACTGAAGGTGATGTCGTACTCTTGAAAGATCAAGACTCTGTCAGGAACGAATGGCCGATGGGTATTGTTGTACGTGTCTTTCCAGGTGAAGATGGAAAAGTGCGCAAAATCAAATTACGTGTGGTGAAAATTGGTCGTGTCGTCAACTATGTTAGACCAGTTACAGAAGTGGTTTTACTGTTTTCACCGTAGAAACTGTTTGCGATGTTGGACATCGCAGGCGGGGAGTGTGCCGTTACACGGCTTATATGTATATATGTTCGTAAACTGTTCTGTGTTATTCCGTATTTGTCCGTGTGAACTGTTTTAGTCTACCGTTTATGTCCGTATACTACTTGTGTTACTATTCAGTGTTTCTCGTGCTTTCAACAACTCAACTGGCGCCTCTGCCGCACCACCGTTTTACCATCATGTTTTAAGACATTAGAGCCACAATAGAGTGAGTTAATTATGCTAAATCAATTTAATGTACATTTTATTTATATAAATTCAGCTATGAAATATTTCTTTGTGTAAATTTAACTTTAAACTTGCAAAATTCAGTGTCAATGTTAGTGATGTGTATTCAGTCTTGTTTTGTTCTTGTTTTGTAGCCTTTATCGTAATATCATCTATATGTCATCCTAAATAAAATTCTGAAATGAGGATTGAGGCGTCATAAATCCACTCTTTCTCTAATTAATGATAATGAAATTGAAAAAGGGAATGAAAAAAACTGGAACTTCTCTGTTCATAGATTATCAATGACTTTGAGGTTAAACATTTTAATCAGTGTTATATCTAGGAAATTAAGAAAGTCATATAGGACCCTGCAGTATATTGATACACCGATAATCTTGAAATTCTAATCTTATGCAAGTGTCATCCGAAAGTAAAGGAGTCTGTTTTGATTGTTTAGTGAATAAGAAGTCTGCATATTGAAATAAACTCAATTTAATGTACCACATACTTAGTGAATTAAAAGTTTGTTTATTTAAAAATATATTTACCGGTATGTTTTTCTTTTACAATTGTGTAGCTATGAAATAAAATGTTCTGTTTGTTAAAAAACAAATTCATGTACTGCGTTATTAATATAAACATCCATAACAAAAGTTGATCTGAATTCAAGAGATGTTTCTTTTCAAGCAACCTTTATCTATGAAGTAAATAAACGATTTAACATTTTAAAAAAATGGCCAAGTTCTTTCATATTTAAACAATCTTATACCAAGTGTTTCTAAAACGTGAACGCGTGTTTTTCAAAGAAATCTAGATTGCAAAATAATTCAGATACTGTATCACAAAGATCTTAAAAATAATCTCAACATTTGATATCGACATTTGGACCTGAAATCCTCAAACTTAAAACAAGATTTGAATTATCAAAAGAAAATGATATAACTCTATACTTCTGGTAAAACTCACGTATTTCACTACAGAAATCAATGAAGGCAGACCCTAATACAGCAAGATCAAAATGTTCATTTTATGACCAACTTCAAAAGAGATTATTTTTTTTTTGTTTTTTGTTTAAAAAAAAAAGAGTACTAGTATTCTTAATTTCGAAGACATTTGTGATTCCTATTTCAATGTAAAATTTTCATAACCACTTATCAAACATAGATGTTATTAGGAGCAATTAATTTACTAACACCGGTATTGAAATCATTAATCAATTACTGATGAAGTCCACTTTGCATTTCAAAAAAAAAAAAAAAAAAAAAATTAACAGCAAAATTGCCAAAACATTTTTGAATTATGTGTTTGCAGAATGTTGGTGGGAATCGAGTAGTAACGTTTTCGTGGATTTCGTGGGTAACACTTACCCAAAACTTAACATGCTCGCGACGAACGTTGTCATATATTTTGTTGAATCTTTTGTATACACCAGTTACTCAAGAAATTACGTCCCCATGAACCAGTAAAATGGTTACCGACAATATCGACCTCCATTTATTAAAATGATTCTACAATAAGTGATGATTAACTAAAATCACTGACAAAATGTCTTTTTTTCCTAAAAGCTTTTGTATCTATACAACTATAACGTCATCTGGGATACTAGATTTTTTTCTTTTGCTTTGAATGTTTTTTCCTTCTTTTTAACTGTTATTAACTCATTGTTCATTTTTTGCATATTATACTGTACATGCATTGTGCATTTGAGATCTTGCTTTATCCAGGGCACATGTTAGCCCACTTTGGGTCGCCATTTGCATCTTTGGTTTTTGGGGTGAGGACCCGTAATTCGCTCCCTAATTTTTTCATAGATCATGACACGTCGCCCATATACTTCAATCTTTCCTTAATATCTGAGATAATATAACAGTCGTTTTGCCACTGATTCACCTTATTTTTGTTTACAATGCTGGACTGGAAATGTCAATTTCAATCTTAATTAGAAATTGAATAATTAGTGTAATATTTCTTTCTTGTATAAATAATCAAGGGATATTGGATATTTTTCTGCAAATAAATAATAATCATTCAGAAATAATGATGAAGTACATATATTATCTTTCACTCATCAATTTTATTTTTGTTAATTTGTTAACTTGAAAAATTAAATGCATCCCTTCTTTGTTGATTCTAAAATGTAAAAGATCCTCCTTTACATTTTTTTTTAAAATTATAAACTATACATTTATTTTATATTGTCTCGAAAGTTAATTTTAACTTAGGCATAAGTATATATTAATTACATACTGTTTTCAATGTACTTACGCCCTTGTAACAATCCAATAGAAGTAAAATATATAATTATGGCAAAGATATCCATAGATTTGTCAAGCAGGCAGACTTGCTCCAGAGTAAGTATAACCACAGATATATGTGGAGGAAGAATGGATGAGGAGAAAAGGATAATTTTATTGAATAAAATATGAAATAAAATGGCTTGTTCAGTGATTCAAACTTCCTTTGATCTACATGAAAGAGCGTTTCCTGATTACCAGTTTTTGAAGTGAATGTCTAGTTTGGTGATTTATATCTATAGTTGAGGATTTTTATGATGCTTTGGAATCCAGTAAAGATATAGTAATCGAATTCAATTTGGTTGTTGGGAATAATTAAAATATTTAAAACTGACAAATGGTTTTTAAGAATTTCATCCTTAGAAAGATAACTATGAGTATAAATTGGATCAAAACTCTGAAATTAAATCAAAGTTTCTTTCATACACTCTAGTGTAATTAAAATAGTCAACGTTAGGCCATTTCAAGTTTTTCTATGTCTAGAGTCCGAGGAGTGAATTGGTTTTAAGATAAATGAAATAAAAAAAAGACAACAGAAATGCACAAAATAAATATCTGTTATGTAATTTACTCTATTCGATGGGAGTATCGATCTTTTTTTTTTTTTTTTTTTTTTTTTTTTTTTTTAATTATTATCATTATTATACATTTTTGGTTAATGTTTGTACCAAAGACTTGAATTTCATTATATAAGTTTTCTTTTTTCTTTTTGCTACAATGTGAAGAAATTCTGAAATGTTGATAGCTACTTTTATAAATATTCCAAGAACGCTGTATGATTTCCCTGTTGATTATGTTTTTCCCGGATGTACAGATAGGTTTCTGAATTTAGGGGTGGACGCTATAAACATTAAAAAAAATGGAATGGCCTTTTTTTGTTTTGCTGGAGCTACATGTGTAGATCATAGATGTATTTTCTCAGGCAACCCTCATCTGATGTATAATGTTGTTTCTACATTTTCGACTCGATATCACAGCTAGATCAGTAAAATTTGTGAATGATGAACAGACAATACTCAAAGTAGTACATACACTCACCATTTCACTTGGAGGGAATAGCTATTGTTCTATAGTATGCAGAATTTCTGTAATTGATAAACCGTTAAAGAGAATCCTATTCACTGTTAGTTATCCATTTAAAGCCCTGTTAGTTAGAAGACCATCGAAGGATCCCCAAGTAATTATACCTCCTGTAACGTTTATAGAAGGCAAACATTAAGCATTAAAAGAATTTGAAGTTATTTACGGAAGGGAGATAAGGATTTGTTTACGTAATGCCTGAGGTAAGTAGTGCTTACCTCAACTGATTTTAACAAGGGCAACGCAACGCGGAGCATCCCCTCGCAAAAGGTCACATCGATCCCGATATAATTATTACTTGCGTAACTTCCGTTACGCACAAACTAATTCACTCACTCACCCACACACAAAAGCGCGTTACTATATCCCCTCCAACTTCGATTCGAGGGGATAAAAAATGCCTCCGAGTTATCTCGCCTAAGGACCCTCTATACACCAATGGAAAATATTTTTAGACATTGAGAAAATTATCTAGAGTGTGTAAAGGTGTAGATGTTGAGTTTATCTTGTACAATTTAAATATAGGGTACCTTGCATTTACCAGGAAAATGTTCAAAGACAATGAAGTACTGATGAACAGAAATCACTGTCGTTTACATTAGTGGGTAAAATACCTGCAAATGAAGTGTTCAGTCTATTCATCTTGGCCTATTAAAAGACTATGAATGCTTGAATTGATCACAACGTAAGTAATAACCTGTATATTTCAATTTATTTTATTCTAGATCAAAGGGCAGATTACTCTATTTGCATAATAATACCACACAATCAGAACTTTTTGGTGTGCAGTGTATAGAGGGCTCGTAAAGACACGGAAGTTCTGTGCATCAATCTAGTTGATAATAAGTTAGCAATCTTCTGTTTAATCTTATTATCTGCGTAGGTCTTCCACAAAATAAGAGTACTAAAATTGTTATGTAGAATTGTATATACTGTTGGAAGAGCTTATCAATTGGAAACCTTCCTTAGTGCAAAAAGAAATAACGATTTTGCTTGCGATCTTGCAGGATACATTGATTCCAGTTTTGCGGTAACTTTGCTGTAACTTGGCCTCTTCTGTCTGGGTTAATCGTATAATGTATTGTGTATGATGAAAGAAAGAATCATTTTCATATTTTTGTTCATTCACATAACTTTAGAAAAGTTGTTAATTCATCTTATCTCACTAACAGCTGAATGAATTATCAGAGGTTCAAATTAATTCTTATAGTTAGAAAATTATACATGATTTCTTAATTAGGTATGGTTGTTATGCTCTCATAGAGATTCATCTGTTTATAGAGTTAAATTGTATAAAAAATCTGTATCAGAGTTAAATAATATGGACTAAGACCAAAATCAGAAAAAATTGATATCCAATACATTAGTAAGGGTCAAGGTTGAAAAATAAGGATACAAGTGAATTGCTCTCACCACTATGTCCTTCAAAAGTGAACTAAAGGTCAGAGGGAGGACCTGAACGTCTACTAACTGGGAATGATTTTTAAAAAACACTAACAAAGTTAACTGAGACCCCTTGTTTTTAAGTTTTTTTTTTTTTTTTTTTTTTTTTTTTTTTTTTAATTGATTGTTGCCTTCAATTTCACATTTAGATATATCGAGGACGTTTTACCAACTTATAATACTCATTTTCATTCATATGTCTACTTGATGTATCCCAGTGAGTTCGAAATAGAGAATCACAGTCTGCCTCATCGGTTTTATATTGGAATATCTAATTGAATTTAGGCGTCACATCTAAACTGTATGTCAAACGATTTATATTTCATTTTTTTCAATCGTCAACCTATTATATTTATGTTGTGATATTATAGTTATTATCTTCTGCATATGGGGTCTGCGTTTGTTATATCATTCCGTCTGCCAGGGCATGTTCTATTTACGGTGCCAGGTCCGTAGGAAGCAATATCACTTTGGGGGGGGGGGGGCACAACCATACATTTTCAGATTTTCAGTTGGGGGGGGGCACAATCAACTACCAAAAATTCCTTGACGAGCAAATAATAATAATAATAATAATAAAAAAACTAGTATATAGTAGCTATGTTTTCTATAATATTCTATATATCGGCAAAATTATTGGGGCCCCCGTGCCCCCCCCCCCCCCGGTTCCTACGGCCATGGGTGCTTACGGAGAATTTTTCGCATACAACACACAACAGACTGACAAACTAAGGATAAATTTGATATTATGTACCTACACCGTACAATTTGTAAGAAAATTCTTATTTCCGAGTCGTAATAATCATAAAATAGCTATAAGAATTGATAAAATTGGTAAAATTGGTAACTTTTCGTCTTTAAAGTATCTGCAGGGCTAGCAAATAAAGTTTCCAGAACGACAGAAAGACAAAAACAGAATAACCTGGATATATTTGCATGCTTGGATCATTTAGTCTGGGTCCAATTTATAACGATAAGTGAACACACTTTTTAAAAGATGACATTATATTATTTGGGCGAGGTAACTTCCTTGTAATTTTTATATGAAGTTCATACAACACTTCAGCAGTAACAGATATTCTCCAGATACTGAGTAAATTAAGAATTTTAAGAGTCGAAGCAAGTGGAGAAATTTAGAACAGGATATATATCATTGGTTGACTTAAGGACAAACTTAGTTGGTTTAGTATGTAACAAGAGTTGATAAAGCCAACTAATTCATAATCACAATTAAGCATCAAGTCTTTTTAACAAAATATTATCCACAAAAAAAGGTACAAGTAACACACTTGTTGATGTATTCCATCCATGTACAAATTAATATAGTTATTAAGTGTGAACAATGTAAAAGAATTGCGTAATTTGGGGAAATTGATTTATAAAGCCCTTGAGCTTAGAAATTATTTAAACACATAATGTTGTGTCATTTGCTGATTTGGTTATTTATTATTATTTTTTAATACGAATATAACTACTATTTTTCATTAATCTACATGTATGTGTCATTCTCCATATAATCTGTAAATACTGTTAACATATATATATATATATATATATATATATATATATATATATATATATATATATATATATATATATATATATGTGTGTGTGTGTGTGTGTGTGTGTGTGTGTGTGTGTGTGAGGGTGTGTGTGTGTGTGTGTATATATATATATATGTATATGATATAGATTTATAAGGACTGACAATCCATTTTCGTCTCTTTTGTTATAATCTTGTAATACTGCTATAAGACGTATGCAATAAAGAAATTGAATTAAATTATTCGAAGATATTTTACTCACAACCCCTTTCCCAATCTCCCATGCAGCCACATACATTCCTTTTATTCAGTGGAATCGACTGAAATTTTAAAGAATGCATTACTTTATTTCCAAAGCTTTTGTATATTCATCATTTTAACAAAGATAACATGAGTTTAGTTTTAATACAGAACACTATAAGGACGGAAAATAGTGCTTACAGAATCTGTTCTATCAAAAGAATTTATACTTTTTCTTAAATTATCTTTTTAATCTAAACATTTTTTTTCTTTTTTCTGGATAGTATACAACTTTATTTGTAAAGAAAATATTTTTATGGAACAACTTATTTTTTTCTACGTTGCAAAACATATGCTTCCTGAGCTATAAATATCCTCCACTAAATGTCATTTTGTTCTTAAGTGCGCGTGTTTTAGGAACGTTTAGTTATGTTGGCAAGATTTCTGCATAATTTAATGTATTAATTTATTCAAATGTCCTTTAATTATTCACAGGATTTTCGACGAAATGTTGAGAATAACACGCTGCATTTAATTTTTATTCATTCCCGTAGTAATGAACAACAGTGGAATGATGGAAAATGTTAAAACCAAAATTTTAGATTTGCTAGATATTGTTTCTTTATTTCTACATTCAGTTTTGTGAACAGGGTCTCTGTCACCTATTGCAATGTCCTTTTTAAATCATTTTGGAGGACATACGGAAATGGAAAATTAAAACCTGGTAAGTACTTTTCTTACACTCATATTTCGATTATTCTGATAACATAATATTCACAAAGTTAACATATATTTCGTTTTTTTCGTTGTTTTCTCAGATAGGAGGCTTTACATATGTCTGATACTGTCAAACATTTTTTACATATGAACATTATTTTGTGTTTGTGAGACACAAAGAGAGGACGCGTCTGTCAAACAAGCTGTGAACATATCGACCTAGTTTTATTTTTATTTGTGGACGTCAGAATTTCACGGTGGGGAACTTAGAAGAGAAATGAGGTTTTACGTTCGAATAGTACACTGTTTATTGCTTGTGCTTTTTTCATTGCAAAGATATGTATCCTTTCTGATATATTTTAATTCTTAAATAAAATCTGCAAAATTTGAATTTAAAATATCAAACCTTTTGTAAAGGATGGAACCAAAAAAAAGTAAATAAATAAATAAATTTAAAAAAAAAAATAGATAAATAAATCAAATTTTTCTCCTTTAATATCACGCGAGATAAGTAAAGTAGGTCATTAATCTTTAATTAAGAGTTATTTTAACTTAATGTAATAATTAAACATTTTTTTCACCGACAAAAATCTTGATGAAAATGTTCACTTATTGTTAGTATTGTTTTTGCTTTCATGAAATACATATGCATTTTAGTGATATTGAATCCATTCATATAGCCTTCAAAATGGCTTTATAAATCTACAATCTCATATTTTACTAAAGTGTCATGAAGTGACAATCAATCCCAACTTGTACAATTGACTTTTTATGATACATTCAAACAATTCGATGATCAGTTAAATCCATAGTCGCGCTGCTTTCTAAGGTTTCTGTTTGAGTCAGCTTTGCATTATGCAGATGTAAGTATTTCGAGAAAAATTCTAATTCTTAAAATCTTATTTGATTGATTGATAGTATATACCGGTAAGGAGCTTCAAATTTACACCTATATACTCGGACTCAGGGCCAGAGCAGTGAGGGTTCTTTATCGTTCCAACGCCTACCGTGACATGGAACCTCGGTTTTTAAGGTCTCATCCGAAGGACCCGCATGAAATTAATATCTCAATAGTGGATGCAATGTAGTAATGTTTCTGAAATGCATTTTCATTAAAAAAAACTCTCAACCACTATTGAAATAATTATTGCAATAGTGGTCGTTATTTCAAAAGTGGTTGCAACACCCGTGACTTTCATCTCTAGTGCCGGTGTAAAGAGGAATAATGACCCCCGTAAAATAATGACCGGATTCATTTTTCGCCGTCGAAAAATGACCCCGGTCACTATTCGACGTCGAAAAATGACATTTGCATGTAGAAAAAGTGGCATAACCTTTAAAATCTGCGTACCCTACGTGAAGAAAAAGACCCCCGTTGAATAATGACCCCTGGTAGATTTTATTAGGAATATATTTTTTAATTAAAAAAAAAAATTAAGAATTAATAATTCAAGAGGGCCGTGGATAAAAATACTCACCTGAGATAAATTGAAGATATTGCGATGGATCTCTTGTTCTCATTAAGTCTTTCAAATGTCTTTTATGATTTTTTGAATCACTGCTTAGGAAATAAAATTGCTCTTTAGAAATATTTTGAAAGTTCATCCTTTACTTTGCACTGAAACTAGACTGTCTCGAGTATTCATTGTTATAAGAAATGCAAATAGGTGATATCACCAAATCAAATTGGAGATATCACCAATTCAAAACAAAAAGGTGATATCACCTATTCGAATAGTTGATACCACCTATTGGAATTGGTGATATCTTTTTTTACTCAAATAGGTGATATCAACATTCCAATAGGTGATACCACCTACTAATTTCCAATAAGTGATATCACCTATTCGAATAAGTGATATAACCTATTCGAATAGGTGCTATCACCTATTCAGTTTGGTTGAGTGATATCATCTTTTCAAAACAAATATACATAAACTCTACGTAGAGTTTATGTATATAGGTGTGGTACGTCTTTTTTAAACGTGTTTTTCCTTGACTGAAAGTGTCAGAATCTTTATTCTAACAACTTTTAAGTGTGTTTAAAGTAGTTTCAAAATTTTTAAAAATTTATTTTACATTTAACAATCCGAAAGACAAGCCCCTATGGCATTAAAGTCTTAAATAGCAAAGAAAATAACTTGTATTTGACAATGCACATCGTTTGACAGCAATCGGGGGTCATATCAGAACACAATTTACAAAAAAAAAAAATGTATTCAAGTGATATAGTAATAAGTTATAATATCGCTGTCACTACATCTGTCACAATGACCTTCCGGTCAATTTTCTAAAGGGTTATTCATTACCTTTGTTTACGTCTTACTCTTTGAGTCTTAGGTCGCGGCGCGACGAACGACAATCGAACCCTAAAGCGATCGCCCAACCACTAGGCTACCGTAAACGGTTAAAATCTTATGTGAAGTGGGAATTCTTGTTAGTTGTCTAATGCTATTTCCTGAAGATACAATGTTTTTAAAAAGTACGACATGAGAGGTTATGCAGTTTGTTTACGTTTTTATTCCATGCAATCATAGGGTATCGTAGTATTCCATTAATTCCACTAGGCCTACATACTTTATACTTTATATTTTGAGATTCAGGGGTTTGGGGGGATGTTCGCCCCCCCCCCCCCCCCGGCTCAATGTTTTTTAAGTGTTATTTTAACAATGTATTGCATAATGAGACTTTATTCAAACCCATAGTTTTGCACGAAGCGTGAAATATACAGTAACTACATCAATCCCGGTATACCGTAACAGAAATCAGTTTCCGCTTGAACGCACACATCAATAGCATAAAGGGTGGTAGGGGAATCAGGTAGTCCGTGCAGGTAATGAAGTCACAAGGAGTCAAGGTCCAACAAAACCAACAAAATCTCCACATAATTACGGTATTGTCACAGTTATATTCTGGTAAGCATTTTCCCCTGATAAATGATGGTTACTTTTCTAAATTGCATGAATAAGCAAGCAATGATGATTTTTTAAATTGAATAATAACGGTTACAACTTTGTGTATAATGAATTGTGGTAAAACTTATTTTTATATATCTAGTAGAGGCCCTGTCAAAGCAAGAATTGGCCATTTTTTTTTAAATTGTCTTACATAAACATAAATGCACTCTTTTACATATAAAAAAAATTTTTAACAGCCCTACCTACCCAATTTGGGGGGGGGGTGTCTTGATAAACAACTATTGATAATTTTTATTGTAGCTGTCGTTGGTCATTTTCCTTGTATCTACTAAGTAGATCGGACACTTAGGATATACAGTGTTGTTGCTTTTTAGTGCTCTCTCTCTCTCTCTCTCTCTCTCTCTCTATAAGATACTACTGCTTACGTCTATCTTACACGCCATATGTACATCAATTTGACATTCAAAAGCTTAGGAAGTTCAATTTATCAGTTCAAAAAAATAAAATTCTATTCTCAAATATTTAAAGTAAAATGATTTATATTTTTCAGGCTTCCAATATTTCAAGATGAAGAAAAAACTGAAGTCAACCGTAATCTGGGTAATTAGCGTGTTCCTTGTGATTTACTTACTTTGTGCACCATATCGAGGATTGACAATTAATACTGAAGACATTTCGTATAGACTTGTTCAGGCTTATATCGATACAGGGATAGTTCCACCCATCACTGCGGCCTCTGTAAGCTGTGCTGATCAAGGTGAAAATGTGTTTTTACTCATAATGGTGCCAAGTGCAGTCTCCAACTTCAAACAGAGAGATGCCATTCGTCACACATGGGGGAACGTTTCAAAAGTTAAGCCGACTGTTCAAGTCAACTTTGTCTTGGGTAAAAGTAAACACGCAGCTTTGCAGGATTTAGCACATACTGAAAAACTGATATACAACGATATTGTATTTGAAGACGTTCTTGAAACTTACGAAAATCTTACAAGAAAATCTATAGCTATTTTACGTTGGACAGTGTCATTTTGCAGCAAAGTTCGTTATCTTTTAAAGATAGATGATGACATGTTCTTAAATCTTCCCAGACTTTTACGCTATCTAACGGAATTTTCTCAAGTAAACACAATACTTGGATGTAAAGTAAGCCATACTGCACCATTTCGGAATCCATTTTCTAAATGGTATGTGTCACATGATCAGTATGAGGACAGAGAATATCCGGAGTACATAGCCGGAACTGCATACCTTATTTCCGGAGATGTGATATACGATCTCTACCAAGCAACAGATAAAGTTCCTTACTTCATATTTGAAGATGTTTTCATAACTGGTTTGTGCCGGAAACAAATCGGTGCTGTCGCAAAAGAGCATCGTGAGTTCAGTTGTGGTAGTCGTGAAATCGGACCATGTGGGAAAAACTTTAGGTATATGATTACCGGCCATCACTATAGCCCACCGGAATTGACAAGAATGTGGGTAGAACTACAAAACAGGTGGTCGGACTGCCGTTTAGTGGATTACTTTTTTATTTATTCTCTGATTGATATTTTCAAATGGATATTTCTCTAATATTCTTACTACAGTTTTCTAGTCATGAAATGACAATAAAAGTTGTTTACTGCTTGTCGACTTTATTTCAGTGAACCTAATCATTTTTCTATCTTCCTGACGTTGAAAATGAAACACAAAATTAATGTTTGAAAGACGGCGCAACTTATCAAAAGAGATCAATTTTTATATGGATTCTCTTATATTATTATAAACATGCTTTCCTCGGACAATTTTTACAATAATTTGACTACATTCAGCAAATTACATATTAAGAATTTAAATTAGAAGTCTTTCGAGCATTAACTTGAAAAAAGTAACTATACCTTTTGAAGTAAAACTAGCTGACTGTTAAAAAATTATATTAAGGTATTCAACGTATAACAATCACATTTTGTAGATAATAAATGAATGGTCCCATATTTTTAATCGTGGTTGCATTTTGAATATGTTATGAAATAAAAATACTCCACCAAAGGAACTTACAAAATTTTGATTATTGTCCAGTTAATGGCATCTTGAATTTTACACCGTAGTCTATAGGCAGCGCATATATTATCAATATACTGTAAAAAGTAATTCGAACTTCATACAAATCTCTTGGTGAAACTATGCATAAACTCTCTCTTCATTTAAGAGATGAATTTAATTTTTGAGAATTCAAGAGGACATGAACTACGACGCTTCACGCCTGCATATTTCACGAAGCGCGTTAGCGCTTCATGATAAATATGCAGGTGTGAAGCGTTGTAGTTCATGTACCTCATGAATTCTCAAAAATTAAATTCATCTCTTATATTTACATTATTTTTCTGATGACTTACCACACATTTTTTGTCATTCAAAGATCATTTTTGAAAAAAAAAGTTTGCAGTATATTTTTTTACTTCAATCACATCACAATGGAAATATTCTTACTCATTCCACGGTAGTTCATGAGAAAATGAACTTTTTCTTATTTGCAAAGAATCTTAAGGAAAAATATTTGGAAATGTAAATATTTTTAAAAATATGAAATAAAACGAAGCATTTACCACAGATATTTTGACAAAATTTAAAATTTTTCTCTTTTCTTCAAGGGTAGATAACTCTTCAAAAACGTTTAAGGTGCAAAATGGCCGACTTTATATGTGAAATAAAACGAAGCATTTACCACAGATATTTTGACAAAATTTTAAAATTTTTCTCTTTTCTTCAAGGGTAGATAACTCTTCAAAAACGTTTAAGGTGCAAAATGGCCGACTTTATATGTTATCAGTCATGTGAATTTGGTTTATTTCACTTCCATCGTTATCTAGCAATACATATTTAACTAGTTTAAAATGATTCAAAATTGTTCAATATTCCTTCATTATACATTGAATACCTTTAAACAAAAGTAAAATTGAAACAAGTATGATGATAATATAATTAATAAAATTTATTATGCGGATCTTCTTCATCAAGCAGAATATTTTTTTCCTGACTTTCCATTACTAAGTATAAACCAAAAAAAAAAAATCATTATTTTCTGTTATATATTACATGTATGTCTCATTCCGTACAAATAACGTCCAACAAAAGGGAAGATGTGTAACTCTTTCGTCTTATGGAGTGGTGAGAAGGAGATGCGTATTTTCACTTATCGTTTGGTTTGTAGCAGGTGCGAGATTACTATTGTGCGAAGTAGGTGCACAATTTGTAAGTTCACTTTCAATAAATGGAAAGAATGAGACGTTCACGGATAGATTGTGTTCAACTTCAACATTATGATAGGTGTATTAATACGGTCTTACTGTTAATTGTCCATTTCTCATGTTATATGACGTCATCTGCTGTGGCTAGATTTACATCAGGTAAATACTGAATTTAAAGTCTTTCGTAAAGACACAAATTTTGTTTCATGTATTTTAATTAACAAAATTTTAATGTAGAATAATAATATATCTTTTTGTTAAAGAAAACTGTTCAGTGGACAAACATTTTAATTGCTTTCATATTCCATATGAAACTCGGTTCAATCTAGAAATGATAACACGAAGTCATCCTGGTTACATAGAGATAGAGGTAACTCCTCACCTGGCTGACGTCACAATCGAAAGTCAGGTAAGTTTTAACAAGACACATTATATGATGTTGTGAACAATAAATTGTATAATTTTTTTTAATTCTACAAGGGGTTATATAGATATGTATTTGTTGCCTTGGTAAAAAAAAACCCATTCATGATCACCACAGAAATCAATTTTTCGAAATATTAATATGATAAAACATGGAATAGAATATCGGGATCACTAATTTTCTTATGAAAAGGCTATAAGGATTGAAATCTAAGTATAGTCCTCAGATATTAACTACTGTATATTAAAAATTAAGATGTAGAAATGTATAAATTGATGTTTTTTCTTAGAGGAATATTGATTAACAATAAAGTATGATTAAGATTCGGACTTCTCACAAATCAGATTGAAGAAACTGCTCACTTAAGTAGAAATGCTACCAAAAATCTCCGAAAAATCGCTCTCTAATTCAAATTAAAAAAAATTCTTATATATTTAATTCATCTATTATGTTTCTTATCATTTTGCTTAGATTATAGGGACAGGAATCAAAACAGCATTTAATCTTGAACAAAACCAGACCAGAGTTATAATCAATACAGAAGAACATCCGGGACTTTACATCATCAGGTTGATTCAGAATGGATCTGTACTTGTGACCAGATACATTCATGCTGGTATTATTACATTCATCGTCACCACCATTTTTTTTTAAGTTAATACAATAAACAGTAATTTCTATATCGTTATTTTGGCAAAATTTTAATCCAAACTACTTGAAAGTAACAAGTTTGATGGAAATTAGAGACGTAAATTAGACCCTGTGCTTTTTACTGCTGTGTAAATGGGAAGAAAAGAAAATCATGACAGATGTTGAAAGTTAATGCAAATGTTTACTTACTAACTTTTACACTTTCATCACATTTATTGAACGAAAGATGCATATATTTTATATTTAAGTCTGCTTTCTCCAGTTTGCCAGAAACATGTCACTCTCAACTTCAATCATACCTATTCAATACAGTCACCAGAATTTCCTCTGCCTTACCACGCAGGCCTACGGTGTTCATGGAAAATAACCAAAATTAGGAATGACACCTGGTTCAAGATTGATATAGTGTTACAAGGAAGTGATTGTCTGACTTCCTTTGAAAGTAATTTTAAGAACGACTTGTGCTCAAAAGCCAAGCAAAACGAAAGCCTTGTTGTGCCAAACAATTATCTGTATGTGAATTTTTCCTCCAAAAAATCGGGTCCATCTTCTTATATACACGTGGAGGGTAAGTTATACTAGTAAAAATCCCAATAGCATTGTTTTTTTTAGAAAAACAAATTTCCTATAGACATGATAGATGTTGTTTTACACTCATAATGTCATTATCATTCAAATGTGTCTTTTCCTCGATGAAAATTTATTGTCAAATAAGTGGATTGAACGATTCTTGCTTTTTACTCTTCAAAATTTTCGTTAAATTTACTCATTCTAAAAGTGTTTTCTATTAAATTAAAGTTAAAATTTGATTTCAATTATTAACAGTCATACCTAAGTTATGTTCCCCCACATACCTGTCCGCAAAAGCAATCAGTGACTCTATACAAATCGACTGGTTCTGGAATGGCACGGATGCCGACGCCCTTGTGTGTGTGATCGAATATCTGGTATATCCTTCCACTGTACACTACCAAACAATGGTCAACTGCAGCGATAATTCGTACATATTGGATACCAGCCTCCATAGGGGCCAGCTATATCAGATTAGGATGTTTGCAAAGACCTCTTTCTGGGAAAGTGAAAAGTTGGATTACGTAAATCTTACGTCAGGCAAGTGTCCGCACTTATTCAATATGTTGATCAATTTCGTCATGTACTCAGCAGATGAAACATTTTTTCTTTACAAAGAGCGCCTCTGAAATAAAGCCATTTTGATTGATGTATGGTATATGAGACATCGTCCATACATATTTAGTAGAAAATATAATTACCAATCTGTGTATTTATGATTCTATTACATGTATATACTTTATGTTTGAGTATATTTTCTGTTTTAATTTTGTAGAGTGTCAAAATGAAGTTTTTCTCGGAAAGAACAAAGAAGCTACAATCCTTTCAGAGGGTTACCCATATCATCTACAGTCATTTTCTTCTTGTCAATGGAAGATCAATACAACAGCGGATAAGTTCATAAAACTTATCATCCGGGACTTTAATTTATGCTTGAATTCGAATATCTGTCAGACAACATGCCTGAAAATTGACAAGGAAATAAGACTCTGTCCAGGTTCTTCGATTGATGAAACGTATTTGATACAGAAAAACAACACATTCATCATGTTCAATTCCACTGAAGCATTAAATGGTCGGGGTTTCAACCTGTCAGTCAAAGCAGTTGGTAAGTGAGTATACAGAATGGGCTCTTGCAAAGAATGCAATATATTTAGTACATATTAAGTTGGTTTCATGCCAACAACAGACTTCCAGAGTGTTTTTTTAAAAACAGCATGTTTTTGTGGCAAATGACTTTAATTGAAAAGTGCGTTTTTATTCCTTATTTATGATACTTTATTTTGCGTTTTATTTTCGATTTGATTTGAATTTCGTCTTTGATTCATTCAAGGACAGCAGCCAGAATATAATATTTATACTAGAGTGTTCCAGGGAACACGTGTCGCCTGCTTTGTGGCTTCACTAATAGTGTAAATGAATCTAAGAATGGTCAGCTTTTTATACACTATAAGCTCGATTGACTGATAGTTAATGCATTTGCCTGCAAAGGAAAAATGACATCCATGGATAGTATAAGACTGCTATAGAATCTGACAATCAAAGAAAGTATGGTTCCATAACCCTAAAATGAATAATTAAATTGAAATTATTAGAAATAACTTTTTGTCAATTTATTAATACGTGTTTCCAACAATCCTCCAAAATAGATTTCAGTCTGTCTTTACTGCAATTGTCAGTCTACACGATCCATTGTTGAATACCGATCCCGATTTTTATGGTATTTCATGATTTTTATGGTATTTAAATATAAGTTTGTGTGGTAACTCAATATCATACAGTTTAAAAGTACTTTTTCATGAGCTAAATGTTTTTTCATTCAAGGGATTTCAGTCTGTCTTGTCTGCAATTCTCAGTCACAATCCATCGTGGAATACCGATCCCGATTTATCTTCGTAGTATTTAAATATAAGTAAGTCTGGTAACTGAATATCATACGGTTTCAAAGTACAATCATGAGTTCATAAATATGTATAAATGCTAGTTATCTAAACCCTGCCTCTCAAAATTCAAAAGTCATAAGTTTAATTAAACTGCCCGAGATATTTTTTGCAAAGTAGGTCATAGGTCAAGGTCAAGTGGACTGTAATGCTGGTATTTTTCGTATTGTCTTATGACAAATAGTGCACAAACTAAATAGCGTAGACTTACCTCTTATATATCAAAAATATGCTGTATATATATATATATATATATATATATATATATATATATATATATATATATATATATATATATATATATATATATATATATATATATATATCGTCACTATGAACTATTTTGAATAGCAGGTCAAATGTCAAGGTCAAAGGTCAGGAGGTCGGTAACCATGGTAATTTACAAAAGCCATAGTGCCAAGCAATATATGTGCAAAATATCAAATCCATATCTCGAACAGTTCTTCTGATATAGGGTGTGACAGACGGACAGACAGACAGACAGACAAGCAGACGCCGGGTAAAATGATCTCTTAGTGCCACTCTGTACTTAAAATTTTCTTTGTACCTCGATATGTCGTACAAAGGCTCAATCGTACAATATCCAATCAGTATATGCCTTTTTTCTTGTAGATTCTCCTCCCCCTTTTCTTGACCAATTCTATGTCGAGAGCAAACACAACCTTATCAACATTACGTGGAGTCCTTACGATGGACAAAAAGACCTGTTGCGTTACCTTGTCACCTACAGTGTCATACCTAACGTAGGACATCACGTGATCCCTGTTCGGGTCTTTGACACTTTAACAACATACGTCATTGACACGAAAGCTCACCAAGGCCAATTGTTTGCAGTAAAATTATCTTATCTAACCGAGGGTGGAGAGGGGACACCTTCAAATGTAAAAATCATCCGGGCCTGTAAGCACTTTTACGCAATTTTAAAGATGAAATTTCAAACTGAACAGAGAGTAGTGAGAAAAACATAAGTAAATCTTAAAATCCAGTATTGTGAACACATACATGTAATAAAGGAATAAAACTTTTAAAAAAAAATTTGCAAACGAAGAAAATAAATATTTTTCTGAATGTGTAAATATATAAAACAGTTGCACTGAACTGATAATATGAAGCTAGCCTGTATCTGATGTTGCCATCAGCATTGTGTGAACAATACTTTAAGATCACCAGGATAAACTGTCTTTAACAGAACAGATAGGGAGGCATTTTTCAAAACTTCTACTCTTTTTATAGCATGTGGACGTGCCGTGCAACTGCGCCATAATGAAAGTCTCACTATACGGTCGCCGGAAGTTAATGGTAGCTACCTTTCAAATGTCTTTTGCAAGTGGAATTTGTTGACGGATCACGCACTCTGGTATAAGGTGAATAAAATATCATCATTTTTAATCAATATGTACATGCCATTATTTCTCAATACAGAAAAAGAAACATGGACTATAATGTTCACCTGATTCTCGGTTCTGTTTAGCATTAAAATATAAAACATGTTCTTTAGCTTTATGAAAAGATTTCTAGATATCTGCAACAGTTATAACCTTAAACTAAAACAATATCAACCTATAGTTTATAAAGTTCCTATTTGCATATCAACTGAAAAATATTTTTTTCACATGAAGAGAAGATGATAAACAAAATTTCATCTACATGTAACAGGTAACATGAGCGCTACTGAGTTACTGAGCTAAAACAACTACAGTTTCAAAACTTCCTCACAAAGTACAATACAATCTCGCATCTCCTCGAGTCTTTCCGGCAAGCTCGAAAAAAAACGTGTATTTACATCACCGGATGTTTACATTTTACACAAAATGGAGTCGCTTCCTATTAAGTAAACCATTGGAAAGACAGGGTTTATTATCCCCTCTGAAATATACGTTAGGTGATATCTTTACATTCAATTAAGTTGAGCCCCAGACTTTACAGATTGGAGGGTTTCAATACATCTCCATGTATTTCAATGTTTCTGAAAAGGGAGTTGTCATGGACGCCAAAGTAACACTTCTGCTTGTCGGGATAGAAGCATATGATTAACAAACTCACCTCCGAAAAAATCTATCTCTATTTTACTCCTGAACTTGATGAAAAAGAAAAAAAAATAAATTGTATAATTAAAAAAATAAAAATTCCGAAAACAAATTCTGATGTTTATTAAGATGTGGTTTACTTCTCAAAAACTTCTCCCTTTGAATACATGTATCATGTATCATGTATACAGAACAGTTCGATCCTTTGGGCTATAATGACTTAGCTTTCAAGATGAACATGTGTAAATTTTGTGCTATTTAAGTGTAAATATCATTTCATAATAAACTCAGATTGAATTCTTAAAGATCAAGCCCTTTGACTTAGTTTGCGGCTTTATTAATCTAAATAATTAATTTGTTCAGGAAAAATTAGTGATTTGGGTGAATAATTTAGACAACGGGTTTCTTCTTTACTTAAAGTATTAATCAATTAGCTTTGTAAAAGTTTTTTTTTTTTAAATTCTTTAGCTTATTGTAAATGACATCTATTTTCCAGTTTGATATTGTTAAAATTGACATCGAAAATTCCCCATTATGTCAAAAAGATTATGTGGAAATTCCGGGAAATCAGAGGTTCTGTGGAAACGAGCCTGGTTCTATGATTATAAGAGATCACAGAGCCTCCATAGCTTTTGTAACAGACGACAGCAATTATGCGACCGGATTTACAGCAGTGTTTACAGCAGTTTGTGAGTACAAACGATAAGCAATAACCTCTAGGTTTTTACATGTAATCCTAAAATGTTTTCCTGCGTTGACTTATTGCAGTTTAAATCCTTCCATTTCTTAATGTCAATTTTTTAGGGATATTTTAATGTACCAATATGGAATACAAATGATGCCAGCAGTACTTTCTTATCAATGCATATAACGTTTTTCCCCTTACGTTTCACTTTTTTTGCTTGAATATAACTATTAATAATTACACGTAAATTTGTTTTATTTATTTGTCAAAGATCCACCATCAGGTCGGCCTACGAATGTAACCTTAACGTCAACACGATATGGCTTCTTTCTGAAATGGGAGAAACCTTTGATAAATCCTAGTTATGTGAGGGGGTATCGGATAAATTACAGACGCCAGGAGAAGACCGAGGTCTCTGAAATCATTTTACCATTCTATGAGAATAGTGCTTTTATCAACACTCTGTCCTATCCGGGAATTGTATTTGAAGTATGGATGTCTGCAATTGGTGAAGCTGAAGATAGCGAGTTTACTGAAAAGATGCAGATTTTGTCAGGTAGTGCAACACTTTTCTTATAATTTGGTTAAGCAAAGAAACATCATCTTAATTATAGATTCTGAAATTCTATGCATCTTACAATCATCTTAATAATTACAGGCAAGGTAGAATAATTCTGAAATTGTTAGCAAATTACTATCATTTTAATTTCAAAAAGGTTAAGTGATTCTGAAATTGTAACATACTTGATTTGATGAGGAAATGTACAAACGTCTACTAGCTTAGATCATTAAGATAGGTTCAACGACCCCCTCCATCTCTAGAATGAGTGAGACGTAGAAGTGAAGGAAAATTCAATTCGGGTATTAAAAAAAATCGAAGCAAAACAAAAGAAGAGTCATCAAGTTTATGTCACCAACTCGCCGAAAACTTTTTTATTCTATCTCTAGATATTTGTATGCTTGGAACCTTTCTTTACCAACAGCACGTGTTTACAATTGCAATGTATATACATTGTATTACGATCTTGTCATCATATTTTTTCCATAAAATCGACGCAATAGATCGACTTCATGATTTTCTTTCTTATTGCAGATTGTGGAGATTATTTAACAATAGATAAATCCCCCCAACTGATCAGTACGCCATTTTACCCACAATTCCCCAGTGTCACGTGTCAGTGTTCATGGACCTTGGAGTCTGTGCATCAGTTATCATTCACTTTCTTGGATACTCATTATGAAAACCATACCACAAATTCAACAGAAGACGACTTTCTAATCATAAACAATACAAAGCATTCTTTTTCGAATTTAAGCAAAGGAATGCAGTTTTTATTCCTTAAAAATGAAATTGTAAAGATCGAGATTCGGACTAAGCAAACTAATTTCTTAGCAGCAATAAAACCAATATCTGGTAAGTGACTTTTATCGTTTTATTATACTCTACAATCATGGTATTTCATTAACTATACTTAAGGGAAAACAAAACAAAAAAAAAAAAAGGAACAAAGGTTAAAATACTAAAATATTGCATAAATTACTTAGAGATGGCAATTCTACACTTTATATTTCAGTTTTATTTTTAAGATTGCTAAAATTTCAATGGTTTTCTTCGAGAACATTATATACTTAAATTGTGTTTATTAACAGACCAGGGTCCCTCAATCCCAAGCATCAAACGCTCATCATCTGCTAGCCGAAGACTTCATCCTAGCTGACTATTAACTGTTATATTGGGAACTATGCTATTGAGAACCACACTTTGAGTTAACAGTAATATAGAGATGCATCCTGTAGGACGGAATCTGTCCCAAAATGAAGACTTCGGATTTCACTTCAGCTTAACATGTACGAACTTGCAAAAACAGTAACTGTTATAGATATGGCTGCTGAATACAATTTTCAGAAAAACAACAAAAAGTTCGTTTTTTCTCAAGAGAGAGAGAGAGAGAGAGAGAGAGAGAGAGAGAGAGAGAGAGAGAGAGAGAGAGAGAGAGAGATATTGTTATAACAATGTCCGTTGATGAAATCTCCTTTAGAGTCTACTTAAGGTAGTATAAAACACCTGTGAAATCAGTTTTAACTCATTTTTTTTAAACTCACAAGGAATAAAAATTACTCCAATATCAATCATCAATGATCTTTGTAAGGAAAATTAAAAACTATCAAGATATCTACCCTGTCCTGTAAAAAATGAAATTATTAAATGAAGTGTAACTTTTGATTTCATGGAAGAAATTTTGGTATTTGGACATATGTATAAATTAGTTTCCATGGTCTATGAACAATAAAATTCAAGGTTATATTTAGAGGTCAAAGGTCAAATATTATGTCATTTACGGATTCTTTTAATTTATTAAAATCTCCAAAAATATCTAAAACCTATGATTCAATTTCCTTATGTTGATACAATCTAATTTTTATTCTTTGAAATCATGCTCTCTTTTACACTATGAGATATGAGAGAGTAGCATATTTACATGTTATGTTTTATTTTTTATATCACAGTATACTCAGATATATTTAACGGAATTATAGTAATGGCTACCTTTAGAAACAGCATGACACACATTTGTAATATATCAGATAGTAATTTATAAACAATGCACATTTTTGTATGAGATGTCTAATTCCACCCTCTTTTTACAGGGGTCTGATAGGCTTAATATCAAAATATATGAACAAAAAAAATGCATGGTTGAATTTTTTTCATATTATACATAGAGAGAGAGAGATTTGGTATCTTAGTACAAAATGTCAAAGTTTCAAAAAATTAAATTTGAGGAAAATTTAGCAAGACAGTGTTCATGAATTACGTCTAATAATTGTCATTTGCCTCCTTTATGTGAACTGCAATGTGATCTCAATGGCTCAATGACTTATTATAGGAATGACTCTAATTCTTGGCCAAATTATTCGAGTATAACCTGGTTTGGGTCAGTTTACGCTTTATAATCCGCGAAGCGGATTATAAAACAGCGTAAACTGACCCAAACCAGGTTATACTCGAATAATTTGGCCAAGAATTAGAGTCATTCCTTATAATTTAATTTTAAAATCATTAAATAACTATGGGTGTAAAATTTCGTTACTTTTTATTAGTTCAAATTTGCCGCTCAATAATACAACCGTAGTAACGGAAGTAACGGAAGTGATGGGAAGCGAGGGGAGGTAAAAACTGATACATAGGCCTAGCAGCCATGTTGTTTGGTTACATGTGGTAAGATCGAATTATCGTTTAAATTTTTATTAAAAAAATTTATTAAATCTGGAATTTTCCATGAATCCCGAGGACTGGAAATGAGAGGACTGTATGGATACAGATGATTCAGCTGGTTGTTAAGGGGGTGTGTACTCATACCAAACCAGGTTATACAGAAATAATTTGTGTTCCTTTTTGGATATTAACCAATCAGAGGCTAGAATACAAACAAAATTAAATTATAAATGGATAACTCAGATTGATAAATTACTCTAATGAAAATCGTACATGATATCAAGCATAGACCTAACGAGCCGAAACACTTACATTGGTCGTACTGTATGGCTTTTGATAAAATTAATACCCTTAATCTGACTTAGCCCACAAGAATAAATATGTCGTTCAGTTGATAAAAGTTTACTGAATGACAGAGCTGTACTACTCAACCGCCTTTCTGGACCTTTCAGTGATCAACCAGATAAAATGAATATCGTAGTTTCATCGTAGTTTCCTGCAAATTTACGAGATACACTGATTCCAGTGTATGTTATCTAATAAGGCAAAGCTTGTACTTTGTTTATGAATTTAATATGAATACACGTTGTTTCTGCTATACATATGTACATTTTTTAAAAAAAAAAACATTCTGAACATACATGTAATGTATAACTACTATAATAGTACACAGAAAAAAATGAATTAAAATCTAAGCAATACCTATGGAATTAAAGGATTAACTTATTGAAATGCAATTACCACAATTTTTAAAATACACATATTAGATATGCTATTCAATCAAAGTTTGCAAAAAAATAATCACAGGAAATGATCTGCTTATTAAAGAAATCATTTCATTAAACAATTCAATAGTAAGACAGCAAATGAAAAATAATGCAGAGAAAATGCTCACCAATCCAATACTCTTAGTCTGCGCACAAATCTAGTTATTGGTTTCATTTAAAAGAAAATTTCAATTTCTTGTTATATCTGCAAAATGATTTGTGTAGAGTTCGATTCATAATGACTCAAAGTTAGAACTACTGAATAAGCTGAAAATGTAAAAGGATTACAGAATTATGCGACATAGAGAAAAAAATCATTTGAGTTTCCAGATCAGACGAGACAGCAGCACAAATATTTCATTGTCAGCAAATATCTTAAGATATATGTCATTTCCCCTCGTTGATAATACATGTAAAGCTCATAATTTTTGTTTATCATTTAATCTTTAACTAAGTATTAAATCAAATCGTGGAAGAATCGTCCATGAAGGTTAAATGGTACAATCGTTGGGAGTTCTGCTGAATTGACCATCTCCATACTAGTGGCATTTAGGAACGCCAAGTAACTTGAATTTCTTATTCCGTTCAAAACTGGAAGAACGAGATACCCATCATCCTCGGATTTGCCACTAGGTGTCGGGATAAACCACGCCTCTACTGCGTAATGATTGGGTACTTTCCACATTCTGTCCTGGCCCCGCCCACACAGATCTTTTTTAACTAGTGCTATATCACTCAAGGAAACATTGTTGCATTTCAAAGCCACGCCATACACAAAACAATACGATCGATATCGATATTTTTCGTTAATGGCAGGAAGGTCGAGGGCCGAGGCACACGGTGCTTTTCGTGAATCCTCAAATGTTTTCCATTTAACTGTTAAGGTGTTTAAATTTATTGAATATCTTCTTACAGCAGCCCTCGTGTTAAACTGGTTCCTCTTAACTGGGTCCAATAGATTGCTCATCTCTAAATTTTTCACGAAGTCAGGATTTGGGTATGACGAAATATCTACTATGATGTTGGAATTGTCTTTCTCGAAAGCATTTATTTGATGCATCATAAACACATTCTCTGTTTTCAATGTGTACACCTCACCCGATTTAATATGTACGACATATAAAGTTGTGGGAGACTCGGGTTCCCAGTCTAAAGCCCTCTCTGGGATAGCATATCGAATCATTTTCATTACATTGATGTAATATGGACAAGCGAAAAATATAACGTAATGTTCTGTTGCAGCAAAGGAATGCATATAAGGAATGCGATCTACCTCCCACGAAGAAATTATCTCCCTTTCTTGAGACGATTTTATTCTAACCAGTGAAATTTTGCTTTTCATACCCGGAATGACATTTACACTTGATAAATAGGTCAAATGATTCGAGGTTCCTGATTCCGGAAGTGGATGTGCAGAGGAGAGAAAATTGAGAAAAGAGAAAGCTGATGGACTTTTATGAATGTGTACAGGAGCAGATACGGAAGAGAGAGTTTGTAGGGAGTCGGGTTCGATTTGATAGACTTTCCAAAAGTCATTTAAAGCTACAATATCACCTTCACCGAACTTGTAAACGTTTACATTCATGTTGTCAATGCCGCGTACTAGGGCTCTCAATCTTTGTACCAGATTAAATGGCGGATCCACAGATTCAAACAAAAGGTATGGAGCAATATCATGCTTTTCCATAGATTCTTTATAGAAGTCACTCTGAAGGAATTTGGTGGAAAAGTATGAGGTGCCATTACCCGGAAATTTCCAACTGCTAAGTTTTGCAAAGGCGTCGAACGCATGCGTGAACCTTCTGCTGCCAACCCCATATTTTCCAAGTCCGTTTCGAATCTGCATAAGATGTACAAGAATTTAGCAATACAAAACAAAAAAAAAAAACAAAAATGTTAGCAATATCTTTAGAAGTGATTCATATTTTTTTTTTTATAAATGATATCCTTCACTACGTCTTCTTGAGAAGGTCCTTGAACAAGATCTTGAAATGATCCTGCAGTAAAGTTTAACAAGGCTTGTTTACTTTCTAGTCCCATAATTAGGTATAATTAGGTAATTCTGAAAAGCTTGAAAAAGTACAATTAACCGCCGCTAGAATTGTAACAGGACTTCCTATTTTTGTGTCTAGAGAAGCACTATATTCTGAAACTGGTTGGGAAACTTTAAAAACCAGGCGATATATTAATCTTACATACATTTCAAAAGTCAACAATGCGTTGTGCCAAGTTTCACTAAAAGTGCCCTATAGTAGACGGAAAAGTAGAATTTTGGAGTTTTTTCTAACGACGTTAGATACAACATTCACTAGAAAATTTCACTTTAGGTTAATGACATCTATGATTAATGAAGATGAATATCAGTAATAACAACACATAACTTACCAATGTGCCTTTTAGCCAAGATGGTAGAGGGTTTTCAAAGTAAATCGGAACGTTTTCCATTTCTTGTTCATTTGAATCAAAGAAGAGCTCAAAACCCGGGTCTGTTTTGTGAGAATCAACATCACTCTTTCTTTCCAGAAATCCGTTCTCAGTGTCTTTCCTTAAAACCGTTGCAGACGCTATAAGCATCAATGGCATACTCAACACTAGAAATACGAACACGAACTTCGGTATTTTACTCATCATTTTCAATAGAGCAGTTTACCTGTTTAGCAGGAACAAAGTGTACTAATTGCTTTCTAGGGTATTATGACTTTATACCTTATTTTTTGATAGCCTTTCGTAACCTCGCCATCCACTCGACCTCCAGACTCCAGATAAAGGATTTCTAGATTATCATTTCGTCAACAAAGAGATATGTTTTGTTAAATATATTAAACGTTTAAGGACAAATGATACATACATACCTTCTTCAAAAATCATGACAATATCAGCTAAAACATATCTATAAAATTAAAATGAATAAGTTTAGCAGCATAGATTTACGTTTTTTATTCAGAGTTTCACAATATTGTCCTATAAAGTGGCCAAAAGTTGTATGAATTTATAAGGGTGACAGCAAAAAGGTAGATTTTTGAATATCACAGAAAGTCTATTAATGATTCCTTATTTTAGAAATTAAATATTTGCATCATCTACAATCAAAATAGATATCAAAATATATATCAATCCAGGCTAATTTAAAATAATGTTTGTTTACCCTCTCCCGACTCAGAATGAGAAAGAAAAAAATGGGTCGGTAGGTAGGTGAGAAATTTTTTTTCAGACTATTTAAATATCAATGCTGAATTTTCAAAATCTATTTTTCGAAATGCATAAAAAAAAATTAATAGCTTCCAGAAGGTTAAAAAAGTTTTGAGTCAGGCCATTTTTAGCCGGTCGGTCGGGAAAGGGCAACCAAACATTTTTAAAGATGGTCCCAGACATCCATTTTTGTGATTGTATCATCTGTCCTTAAAAAAGAAATTATTTTTTATGCATGAATCTAAGGTATAATTCCCCCATTTTACATGTTGAAAGATGTTTAGAGAAAGTGATATAAAGATATGGAATATTATTTTTAAATGTTCTTGTTCTTCTATAATGAATTATAAAAAAAAGTGATATTACATGATATAAATTTACGATCTTTTAATCGTTTCGCCATCATCAATGACACCTTCAATCTGAACTTTGTAAGTTCATACAAGAATACATTGACTCGTGTTGCAAAGAATTAGTGTCAATTCATTTACAACTTTATTTACAATAAATGTACTAAATATTCAATGATAATAAATATCTCTCGCTGTATCACAGTAAACTTTATACGACCTTAGTCAAGGCCCTTTATGAAAGAATATTACGTAAATTATTTACTTAAAGATAAATAAGGAGATGTTCCTGTGGGAAATTGTCTTATTTCAAAGTGGTCCTTACGTTTATATGCATAACTTTACCTAGTAAGGCGAGAACCTTACATTTATACATAAAAATACCTCGAAAGGTGTTTTAAATTCAATTTGTAACATATGATAACATACAACGTAGTTAATAATGAAAACAATTGTGGAATGTATATATATATATCTGTTTAGTGTGACCGTATTTGATAGTAAAGCAAATAAATACAAATTAGGGGTACATTTACCACCTAAACAAAGCGTCTATGCCCTCTGTGAGGAATTCGAAGTAGAGACCGAAACCTGCAATAAACAGGATAGCACAATGCTTTATAATTCTTTATACATAAGTTTTCTACTAATCCTACCTGTAGGGAAATACCTTGTATTTTAATGTAAAGTGTTTCCCAAAATGTCTGGATGGTCAAAGAGAGAGGTCCAGATTGCCGTTTAAGTTAATTTCTAGTTTGGTAAATCGAAAGCTTTGATTTGATAAAAATAATTCTGAGCCTTAAGCTTCTTATAATAAAATGATTAACTACATGTATAATTTATCAGAGTCAATCGCTTACTAACATATAAATTTTTGAGAGGGTGCATGTTGAGTAATATATAGTCGGGCCAGATTGTTTTCATCCGTTGAACAGGATTGAATATCAACAATTTGCTGTTGACAATGATTTGAAGACAGTGCTATCCCTATGAATGCCCATTCCTATTCTCTGCAAAGTGAAAACAGTACCAATGAAATATGGAGATAACGAATAGTAATCAAGCTCAAAAGTCCACGGAAACAGTACAAATCGGGAGAAGAGCAAACACAGACCTCTAAAAACATCAGAGATTGGATCAGGTGCCATGGAGGAGTAAGCATCCCCTGTCGACCTGTCTCACCCGCCGTGTTTTCATCCTTACGATCGAGCAAACGGAAAAATCCCTAGACAATTCAGTGTTTTATTAATGGCCTTGTATTTCCTGACAAGGTCATTGTATCGACCATAGAACTTGCGATGACTTTAAAACAAACAGCTACTCAAAAGACCAGTTAAACAGTACAGATTGTGTGCAGAGCAAATACGGACCTCTGAAAACAGAGGTGGGATCAGATGCCATGGAGGATTAAGCAGCCCTGTCAACTGGTCACACCCGCTGTGTCCCCCTTGTGATGATCGTGTAAACGAAAAAATTCTGTAGACAATAAAGTGTTAAAATATTGGCCTAATAATTTGTATAAAAGAAGTCAGTCAGCATTCGACCTAAATATAGTTTAAATGTGCAAACAGTCATTGTATTTCCCCTAGACGAGATTGTTACTATCATTGCATTATCTACTTATCTGTCAGTAGCTTGCCTCGTTTTAGAAAGGCTGTAGTGCATGTAGAACATGCTCTTGCTTATCGATTCTTCTAGAAGGCTTAGACCCCATATTAGATAATAATTATGGTATATTGCTACATAATTAATGGAATTTGACGACAGAAAAGTTGAAGTCATCACTTTTATCACAAAGTTTAGTTGTTAGGTTGACATCAATGTCTTTTTCTAGTAAACCATCCGAATACGAAACAGATATGTAAGGCATTGTGGCGTATTTTATTTCGAGTTCAAAAGAATATATCAAATCAATGTAGGAAAGAAAAAAATATTTTATAGATAAAACGTCGTCGATATATCTAAATGTCAAATTGAAAGCTTCAGCAAGAGATCTCTTCTTTTTCATGTTTAAGTTTCTGAATAAATTCCTTCATAAGGATACATAATAAGGGGCAAAATTAGTTCCATGGGAATTCAAATAGACTGTTGGAAGACTTAGTCTCTGAAAATTACTTAGGTTTTGTCAATGAGAAACTTAAGAAACTCAATAATCATTTTTATATCAACCTCGGGGTACTTTTTTAACAATCCTGAAGTTATCTCGGTGATGAAAAGTGCAAGTGACATAATTTATTTAGTAAATTCAAGCCAGAAAAATAAATAGCAACCTGCAGTTGTAGATACTATACAAGGACATATAGTGTATAATAAACTTTTTAAAAGTAACTAGAGAAAAATTCATATTTCAGATAAATGTAGTAAAATTTAATTTAAAATTAGAAAGTTTCTCTCCTCGTTGGCTGAAGGTAGGCCGATCGTTCCATAACGATCGTCGAATTCATTGAGAGGTGTATGGTAGTATAAACTCGGCTTCCGGTCATATTGCATGCCGGATAAATTTCCAAATGGTGCTGGTGACGGGTACAGGTCGTTTGCTTTCTCCGCAGATTCGAGAAGCTTGATGTCATACACTTGAGGCAACGCAGGTGAATTTGTATCAACTAAAACAAAAATAAAATAAACATAGAAGACGAATTCTAATGATACTGACTCTTCCCAGAGTTCGACAGTAGGTACAAACATGCTACAATGTTGCAATGTTTTCTTGCCCCCTCTAAACAAATGTGTTTTACCTTTGCTGTCTTTTGAGGTCATCATGACTTTCATCTGTCTTCTCCATTTTGCTCTCCTATTTTGGAACCAAACCTGTAAAAAAGAATAAGTTTAACAAAAATAGTAACTTTAATGTTTGGGGAAATTTTTCATGTATTACGAATGTTATAACGCATCGTTGTTAATGTATCCTAGATGAAGTAATTACATTAAGAAGAATAGAAAGCAAGCGAATTACCTGAACTCTTGATTCAGTCAGATCAAGTTTCATAGCAAGAAGCTCTCTTTGGAATACATCCGGGTATTGAGTCTGTAGGAAAGCGCCCTCTAGCTCACATAATTGACCTCTTGAGAAAGTTGTCCGGAAGCGCCGCTGAGTGGGAGTGGACAGGAAGACTGTAACGGGAAAACTATGCACTGTCTTTAAAGTGATTGTATACAATATCAAAATTTGGAAAATGCTTTTTTGTACATAAGCTAAAGGTAGAATTCGATCAGGACGGATCATTTATATTCAGAACATGAAGTTCAAGATTTATATACGTTGTACTTCGAAAAAGTCAAAGCTTAGTTCGTGCTACATAGTACACCACCTTATGCTTTAACAATTGTTTTGTTTGTTTTGGTATCCTTTGAAGGTAACTCTAATACAAAACAAACGGACAAAAACAAGTAGAAAATATATACACATGTATATTTGAAAGCTATTTTAAATTTGAAAACAATGAATATACAAGAAAGTGAATTTATCGAAAACAATAGTTCTGTTACTCATTTTTTGGGTATTTAAAAGACATGTTAAATATTCGTGCAATTTCAAACTTCAAATTAACCAACATCAACCCCCCCCCCCCCAATATCCAAGCTTACACATGATTTTTAATTGCTATTGCAGGCTTCTGACAGATAAGTTGATGTTACAGGGATTTGAACAATCTCGCTTAAAGTCAGCATTTCACAAATGTTATGGCCATTATAATGACCTTGTAAACAAATATAACCTATCATTGGGTCGTATTTTGATTGACATATTTCATACCAATTGTTAAGCTTTTGTTTTTATACTAAATTTAAATACAGATTATTCCGTCAATAATAGGGCTCCCAGCGGATGTGACCGGTCGACAGGGGATGCTAACTCTTCCTAGGCATCTGATCCCACTTCTGGAATTTCCGGGGATCCGTGTTTTCATTCCTGATCACATATTTGTATTGTTCACAGGTTATTATTATTATTTTTAAATCAACCACTGTTCGTTATATTCACCTATTTCACTGAATCTATTATCGTCAAAGTCCTTACCTTTATTTGTTAGGGATCTTCTCACATAGTGTTTGCTCTCTGAAACAAACTTAAACATAGATTTGCTCAATATTTTAATATATTAAAAAAACTACTGCGAAAGACTTGAGAGCATTCCTAAATTTCTGAAAATTATGAACCTCACAGTAACCAAATCAATTTCAATATTAAAAAGAAAATTTAATCAATTGTAATTCTGGTACTATTTACATGTATGTCCCAAAAGACAGATGTAGCATTTTGTGGAGAAATACTAGTACCCCCCCCCCTAGCCAGCCCCCCCCCCCCCCGAATCTGTACTCTAGAGTAGGCCTTCCCCCGAGGGGAAATCTCACACTAGAGCCAAATTCCATGCTCTTTCTAAGAGTAGGATTTCCACTATTTTATTAATGCAAAAATCACAGAGGCAGTATTTTGGCTTAAAGTGTACAAAAGAGTCAACTGACGTCAATAAAAAAACTGACTGTTTTTGACCCCAGAATTGTTTGAATCTATTATGTCTAAAAATATGTAGATTAATTCATTTAATCTAAACTCAATATTTTAACTCAAAGGCAATTTTTCAAATAAGTCACTCAAAAAATCGTAAGACTCGATGTCTTAACACCTCTCTTGGCGCAGCGGTATTTTTTTGTACATGAATTTTTAAAACTTGGGAGAGACACACACTTCAATATTATGTACACGTAGTTTGAAATATAATTAAAAATAAAATTAAGGTAAAATTCCTTCTTTTTTGTTTCCGTGGCTACAGTTAAAAATTTGTCCAACCGATTACTAGTACATTGTGCCATATTTTATTCAGAAACCAGTTTGATCAATCACAAAGAAAATGACTTCAGTGCTTTAAAGAATCGGTTGGGTGGTTACAGAGAGAGGAAAAATGAAATATAAAATTTTCAATTTTCATACTTCATATGATTTAATGGAATCGATTGCCATTTTAAAACTTTAAGATGTTGAATGCTCAAGACTTTTTGTTTGTAATTTTTGTGAAGTTTCTTTAAGATGGTATACTGCGGGAGCACCTGTGAGAAAATTGAATACGGGCACTTTAAGACAATGTGTCGTCCCCTCTTCCCTCATATGTAGGAAAAGGTATGATGCTGTATTGGAAATTTAGCTTTGGTGGAAATCAAACTATAAAACAGATAGGGATTTAACCCGGAAAATTTGAATCTGGTGTGGGATTTCCGTAGGGGATATCCTACTCTAGGGTCATTTTCCGTGAGGGAAATCCTACTTTAGAGCCTTTTTTCCGAAGGGGGATCCTGCTCTAGAGCCAGTTTTCCGGGGAGGGGGAGGGGGGTAGAGGGAAAAGCCTATCCTACAAGACCGTTACATTACATCTGAGACGATTAATGGTACATGTACATGTTCATTGGTTAAACTCAAATTCGATTATAAGCTCATCATGATACAACTACCATGCTCAGTTCAACTGTGATGTTCAAATCAAGGACAGTGATTTTCTCAAAAGTCACAAAATAGACAGTCAATCTAAAACTGAACATGGAGCAACACACCCATAGTCTGGTATAAAAAATTAAAACAGTATCTTCTAAATGATAAAAGTTTACCTTTTTAAAGGTGTACGTATTTTTAGACGTGTTCAATTTATTTTTGTTGTGTTTTAGATTGGAAGTGGAGAATCTTGCTTTTTTTGGCAAGGACTCATAATTATAATAAATAAATTCTAAAATAGAACAGCGAAAAATTGGGAACGGAGCAACAGACCTTTGAATGAGAATTTCCTCTTAAAATTAACGGAAAAAAAATCTTCGCCTGCTATGGGTCTTCGGAATGAAAAAATCAACCTGCAATAACTTGATATGTATACAGATGTCGTGATTTATATGTAGACACATACTACATCGCTCAGTAAAAATATTCATAATCATTAACTTAACGGCCATTTCATTATTATAGGAAATTATTTCGATTTCCACTAAAACTGGCACTTACCTTTAGAAGTTTTCTTGGAATATACACCTTGTTGATTATCGGCGTTGGGTGGATGAAAAGTAGTTTGTTTTTCATTTTCTTCATATACAACGTCCGATACTTCTGACGTCACAATCGACGGAAAACATTTATGTCCATTCGATCGATCCAGAAAATTGTCTTTAAGAATTAATTTATTATCGACATCCATAAATGTAAATGAAAGTTCTATTAATGCAATTTGTGCTCCGTTCTTTGATTTTCTGTCATTTTGGTTAATAAAATTTGATTTAATATTTCCAAGAATCATTTTTAAGACTTCAATTCACGAAGCTACATCCAATCATTTGACAGTTGTTATAAAGGGGACAATATCAAAATACTTACAGAAAGGAGAACATTAAAATAACTTAATCTGCTACAAAACACAGCATTTAGAAAATAACTCTTGAGAATATCCCTAATTGATGTCCGGCGATGTAATATGGCCTCCAAATCAGAACCCGATCTCATTGAAACGCACTGATAAGTTTTCTTCGTAATTAAAGACGTCCTGCTCATTTGCTAGAATTAATGCAATTACTTTTAAGACTTCACTCTGATGAATATCACATATCCTTCATCTGCTTTAAAAGGGTAAAATTCTGTCCTGAAACGATACATAAATCCTGTTGATCAATGTTGATAAAATGATTCCTGTCTCATGCAAGTGTTTTACACAAAAATGTATCCATTAATTTTAAAATTCGACATTTTTCAAATATTCAAGCCTACAATTTTCATCATTTAACCATGCACGATACATGTACATGTAACTCATATTTCTGTATACTAGTATTTCATATCAGATCATCCAATTTATATATATATTTTAACTCTTTGTAAAATATGTACACCATGGTTTAATACGAATTAGCTTCCCCATTCAGAATACTACTAATTTACTTTCATAGGCATAATGTCCCTGATGAAGTTTCAAAACGACATTTCTTATATTGAGGATCTTAATGACAACGTATATATCTTGAAAAATGGGGGTGTCCGTCCGTACGTCCGTACGTCTTTAGTACATGGGTGTACCCATCTCTTATCAACAGCTCTTCATATAGCACTAATTAAAATTTAATGAGACTCTCACAGAACCTTCACTACATAGTCCCATTGTGCACCTCCTATTGTACTTTTTAACCAGACTCTTTCTATACATGTAACATTGTGGAGGGAGGGGGTACCCATATTTTTCCCGCAAATCCTCATATACCACTGAATAACTTCATGAGAATTTCACAGACTCTTTAGAACATATATTGCCATTGTGCACCTCCTATTTTATGTTATGATCGGACAGATATTCGAGGTTTATAATAGCAAAAAATGGACATAATTGCCATTCTTTCTATAATATTGGGGGTACCAATTTCTTATCCTCAACTTCTCTTCTACCATTGAATAATGAGATTTACTCACAATCTTTATTATATAGTGCCATTGTGCACCCCTTTTTATGTTATGATCGGACAGTTATTTGGGGTTTCCCATAGCAAAAAATGGCTTTTGCCATTAAACTCATATGAATGTTCACGTCGTAAGAGGTTTTGACACAGATTTGATGTTAATGTTTTCTAAAATGTTTGGTATAATATCATGAATTACATTTTTTTAATACCATTTCAGACTGATTTATTATAAAAGCATGTTTTGAAACGTGTTTTATCTGAAAATTATTAAAAGTATGAATTTCGGGACGCTTTTGATTGACACACATCCTTTCACTTTCACAAAGTAAAACTTGACCTAAATTTCGTATAATGAAAAATGTCAAAACTATAATCCAGAAAACTCAGAGTAGAAATAGGAGAAAGCATGACCAACGCGATGTGTGTAGAGTTACAAATTGAACACATCCAGTAAAACGTAAACATTTACAATAAGAAAGCTCGTGCCCATGTTTCCGAACACAGACATATATTGTTTAAGAATTTTTATGTAAGTTCAATTAATTAAACTGAAGTTATTTTTGGAATAAAAATAGAAATATACAATTGTAAACTGAATGGCAATGCAACTGTGTCCAGGTCCCTTTAAACAGAGCATGTCCCTTTAATATAAAAAAGTACATATACATAAATAATGTCCGCTGATGTATTTGCTTTTTTAACTGATTATGGGGCACTACAGATCGATATCTATAAACACTGAAACGGATAATATTTGCCAAGAAATGAAGAGTAAAGGGACCCGTATTTATTCCTGTCAGTGTTTGACTTGTAAATTAAATAGAGACATCGGGAGAAATGAAGAACGCTTGTTAATTATTTAATTATTTATTTTATAGATCAGTAGTCCAAAGGAAGTAAATACATATTTGTTCATCAAATTTTAAACATATAAGGTTTACCAAAATCAATATATTAGAATATAGAATGTAAATGTATACAAAGTCGATGTCCCAATGTTAATCAGAAATTGTGCACCATGACATTGTCTTAAGGACAAAGGATTTACCAGACGAAGACGGACATTGTTAAACGGACGACTAGATTTTAATGGTTTTCAGTTGAAGGCATAATAGATGATTTAAAATGTTTTGTCCAGTGTGAGATTACATTTCTTTTCTCTTCTGAATATAAAAAAGCGTTGAAACTATTTTACTCTAGAAAGTGTCAAATCGGATTATGATTCTCGCAAATTATAAAATGGAGCATCTCCTCTTCAAAATACTTTTTATTTGTTTTATGGATGACTTTGTTTATGCATATACTTTAACAAACGAGCAGAATCTACATACGGCCTTGCTATCAGGATATAATAAAGACCTGCGTCCAGGCACGGACAGAACTTATCCTCTCCAAGTAAACGCATCATTTTATCTGTTCTCAATCAAGGAGTTCGATCTAGATACAGGAAAATTGACCATCACTGGTGTATTCCAAGTCAACTGGTATGACGAAAGACTCTCTTGGGATTTAACCACCTACAATCAGACAAACTCCACGTCAATCCCGCAGCAAAAACTATGGCTTCCTGATTTGATCAATGTTAATCCTTATGAAAACATCAGAGGATTAGGAAGCGACTTGATTAAAGTTATCGTTTTCTATACAGGACTTTGTGACTGGTACGCTCTCCAAGCATTCGAAGTCATATGTGATGCTGATGTAACTGATTTTCCTTTCGACACTCAGTACTGCACGCTGAAATTCTTCATTTGGGGTTATCAACCAAATGAAGTAAATGTGAATTTCATTTCATCAGGTATTATTTTAACACTATATACAGAAAACGGTATCTGGGAAATCGCGGATTCTATAACCCATACACAGTCAAACTTGTATGGATATAAAGAAATCGTTGTTGGTTTGCATCTTAAGCGAAGAACAGCTTACTATGTTGTAAGTCTTGTTCTACCAATAACAACAATCGCAGGACTGATGGGATTTGTTTTTCTTGTGCCCCATGACTCCGGAGAAAGACTAGGATTTTCCATCACGGTACTGTTATCTATCGTTGTATATCTGACAATAGTCCAGGACATGCTTCCAGAAGCTTCAGAACCGAACATTTCAATTCTGGGGTACATTCTTGTTAGCTACGTCCTCAGTGGGGCTTTTGTTGTTGTACTTGTAATCATAAGTTTGAGGATCCAGAATTGTCCAAGCGACAAGCCTGTACCACAAAGCATTGTTCAACTTGTTAGATGTTGTCGCAGGAGAGGAAAGAAAAAGGATACCGTAGAACCGATAAATGAAAAATCTGGACCAGTGGATGACGAAGAAAGCGATGAACATGTGACCTGGTATGAGGTTGGAAAGTGGTTCGATTTCGTGTGTTTCATTAGTTTGATAATTCAGTTAACTTTAACGTGTGTTACGTATTTTTCAATTGTGTTGTCATAGTTTATTTATAAGGAGCCATTGTCAAGACTCGAATCGTTTTCTTAATAAAAGAATTACTTTTGATATTGTTTATAAACATATTTTGAGCATTGAGCTTATTTTATTTTACGCAAAGAATATAACTCAAAGAACAAAGTGACCGAGCAATTAAATAGTAAAATAATTTAGGGCTAGGTTTAAGATAAAGAAATATTCATAATGATATACATGAGAATATGTTCATTCAAAGTTCCTTTATGTTGTTTATAATATCGATAGCATATACGTAAGTAAATTAAAAATCAATAACTTTGAAGTATCCTGAACTTCAGTAGGTCATAATGAACACTTGTTTGTCTTAAAAGTATATCGTTACAAAAATGCACCATTTACAGAATTATGCATCCGCAAAATAACCTCTTCTAATTATATTCCTATACTTTTATTTTTACCTTCGGAAGATTTCATAAAGTAGTTTTATTTTATAACACTGAATATCTTTGTCGGCTGATAAAATTTACAAATTTACTATAAACATTGTTGAGAAGTGTATGCAAGTGGCACAAGATAAAAATGAGAGATTTACTTCTGATCGGTACTTCATCATTTAATTTGTTGATGAAACTTAATGCTATTATAAAATTAAATTTTATAAAATCTTGTGACCTTCACAAATGGGATAAGTGAATTTTAGGTTCTTTTGTACTGATCTAATACTACTGTTAAAGTAACGTTTTCAGGTTTAATACCATTAAGACCTCTAGTCAATGCTCATAATTAATTAGAATATGACCTTCTCAATATCAAATGGAAGGGATTTGATGTTTAAAGAGTTTTAAATAAATCTGCACACAAGCATTTAAAGTCATTGAAGACCTTTCATAAACGACACAGTTTCATTGGTGGACTTTTATAAACAGCAGATTTCTGTTCATTTATCGCAAATATATAATTATCTATGTAAACAATAGCGTATCATAAGAAAGGATTTGATAAGTGAATCCATTAGCTGTTTCTTAGCGATATCAAAATGAAAGAAGTGATTCGGGGATTTTTACTTTTTTGTTCTCTGGTATCAACCGTGAGCGCATATACCTTATCGGACGAGCAGAATTTACGGACGTCTCTATTGACGGGGTATGATAAGGAGTTGAGACCAGGAATAGATAGAGCATTTCCCCTTCAAGTAAACACATCCTACTTTTTATTTTCTATAAACGAGTTCGATATGGATACAGGGAAATTCACTCTGACTGGTTTCTTCCTACAGCAGTGGTTTGATGAAAGACTTTCCTGGGATCCCGCCAACCATAATCAGACAAACTCAACCATAATATTACAAAACAAAATATGGCTGCCCAACCTGATTAATACGAATCCTTTTGAAGACATCAGAGGGCTTGGAAGTGAGCTGATTTCAGTACGTGTGTCCTCCACTGGTTTGTGTGAATGGTATGCCCTTCAGGTGCTGGAGGTGATATGTGATCCCGATGTTTCCAAATTTCCTTTTGACACCCAGTACTGTACTATGAAATTTTTCATTGGTGGTTATCTACCATACGAAGTAAACGTCAATTTCGTAACATCAGAAGTGTTTTTACAATTATATCATGAAAATGGTGTATGGGAAATTACTGCTTCTACAACTCACACAAAGTTAAACCTTTATGGGTATGAAGAAGTTGTTGTTGGACTTCATTTGAAACGAAGAACAGCTTACTACACCGTTAGTCTGATATTGCCAGTATTGGCAATCTCAGTACTGCTGGGTTTTGTCTTTATTCTTCCTCCTGAATCTGGCGAGAGATTGGGATTTAGTACCACAGTTCTACTATCAATAGTTCTTTACCTTACTTTAATTCAAGACATGCTTCCTGAATCCTCAGAACCGAATGTGTCCATTATTGGCTACATTCTGGTAAGCTACGTAATGACAGGTGCAATCACTGTAATTTTTGTAATCTTTGGTTTTAGAATTCAAAGTTCTTGCAAAAAACCCGTTCCTCGATTCATTGCAAGCACAGTGAAATGTTTTCGTAGGAAAAGGAAAGGAGTTAACTCTGCAGAAAGCTTGGAAACAAAATCTGTGGCCATTGATGAGGATGATAATGACGGAGTGTCTTGGATTGAAGTTGGAAGATTTTTTGATAAAATGTGTTTTATTGTCTCTTTAATTCAAATAGCAATATCGAATATAATTTTTATGTCCATTGTGTATTCATAGATCCAGATACTATTACTTTCCCTCCAAAACTTTCATATTTTTTTCTCTCTTAGAATAAAATTATTACTTACTAGTTTACAGATTCGTATTGTCAGAACTTTAAAAAGTATATATACCGGTCTTTTATCCATTTATGTACTACTATTGCATTTTAATAACATTAAAAATAAAAGTTTGGTAATTTTTCCAAGTGTCATTCTCTTCCTTTACAAGTGTTATAATTTCCGAAAACTTTATTAAGCACAAGTTCGATTTATTTCTTCATTAAATACAAAACATTTAACATGGAAATAATATTTATTTAATTACCATTAATATTTATTATGAAAAATGCTACATATTTAGTCATTATTCAATGCCTGATATTAACCTATAGGTAAAATTTCAATGATTGCTTTTGCCATCAACCAATACCATGCTACCTGTATGATTAACTGTATATACATTTGTTTGAATTTGCTTTCAACTTTACGATCAAATCTCGAGTAAAAAATTATCGAAATTTTTTTTGCGCAAATAAATATATCGATCTCAAGAAACTACCATTATATTCATTGGTTATATAAATTCAGTTAATGCCATTTATAATGTAGAGGTTAAAAACTCGTGGGGAAATAAAAAGCATGTAAACCTATACACTCCACAGTAAAGAGATTGAAATCTACAGTGTATTGCCAATTTATAATCAGTATAGCATTCATAACATTTCATTAATTAATTAATTGAACACTTTATTAGCATTTTTATTTCCCATTTAAGTGGTAAACAGCAATGATTTCTGTCCATCAATCCATGTTGAAAATATTTCCTCGGGGTAAATAGCTAGTATCCTGTTAAAAATGAAATAGGCAAACTTAGTCCAGTGTACGATGTAATACCTTGGGTGTCTAAAATCATTTTACAGTGCTGTATAGAGTTTCTGAAAGTATAAATTGTTAACGGTTTGAAACAATGAGGGGTTCAAAGCAATTTATATTTCAATTACACAAAGACTTTGGTAAACTAGTATAAAGACAGTAACAAAACATGATTTATTGTTCCTTATCTCCATATATTTCATTACTCTGTCTCTTTTACTAACATTGCATAGTTGCATGCTATTTTTTTGTTTCGTATATGAACATTGATGAAATACATATTCTTAATATAAAATGCTTTTAATTTAAAAATTATTTTTATTTGGTCGTCAAATTGATGTAAATTTTGAATTTTTACCTACCAAATTAGAACGATAACTGCTTGTTTATAATCCTTTTCATATCATTTTGATATTTATTGTCTAAGATTAACAAAGACCATTTTATAAAAAAAAAAACCGAGAAAACAGTTATAAATGGATTTTCTCAAACTTTACATCGTATACCATTTCCACGTTTATGTTGCATATACATTGTATATATATATGGAATGCTTTGATAAAGAGTTTTGTGAAATGTAGATAATCTTAATTTGCAAATTAGAATATCAAACGTATTTAAAATGCATTCTTGAAATATGCAGAAAAAATGTCAGTAATATTTACATTAATTGATTGTGATTAAATAAAATAATTGCATTAAATTGTTCCTAGCTTTTGAATTAATCACCAGTTGACATGACCATTTTATCAGGAATGTTTAATCAGAAATGCTTGACATGAAATTGATTTTTAGACTATTTGCACTCACATACACTTACAGTGCATCGTGTAAGGTACCTGGCATAAGGGGGTGTAACTTTACAGAAAAGTTCTCTTATCTTTTGCAGATGGCTATTACAAAACACGGTTCATGACAGGGTACTAGTATCAAAATATAATATGCTTTAACCGAAAGAAAGTGAAAAAATTCACACATGAATTCAGTTTAAATCTATAAGAGTTTTTTTTTGTCTCAAATTCGTACCTAAGTTTTGATATTGATGGACATCCTGATGAATTTAAAATATATAGCTCATGACACCCGACATTTCACAAATGTTTAATTAAGTAATATGGAATCTGCGATATATATCAAATACCTGAAGAATCAAAAGTTCAATGAAATCAAGATAAGACTAGAAGAACAGAAATAATTATTCATTATTTGCTTTTGTAAGGCTGCAAATACTGTATGTGTACCTTTAAAAAGCGGGCTTCATATTTTAGGCGGGGGGAAACGATGCGCTAATTCATGAATATGAAATCATTGTATAAATGTATGCTAAGAAATCATTTATAAATACAATACACGGCACGGACGTGTATAGCGCCAATTCATGATTACACCAACAACTCCAAACCTAGGGATTGCGCTTAATTTTCAACACGCTAATTTATGTACACGTACATTATTTCTTCAATTCAATGGTCTTGGTAAAAATAAATTCCTCAATTCCTTTACAGATGTAAAGATAGTGCCAGAAGAAATTATTATTTCCTGAAATGTTTTGTGTGTATATACAGTAATATGCAAACAACACAGTACATGTACAATTAAGGAATTTTAAATTTAATAGGTAGACAACGTTTACTGTATAACCTGGGTAGGGACAGTTTATGCTTTATAAACTGTGTAACCTCCTCCAACCCAGGTTATACCAAAATAACTTGGGTAACTATTAAATTGATTCCCTATAATTTAATTTTCCATCATTAAGTTTATAAAATAAACAATTCATTCTTCAAAAATGCCTTCAAATTGTAAACATTTAAAGGAAAGGTCTAAGGTTTGCGATCACATGGAGATACCTTGTATTCAGTAAAATAAATGTATGCATCAGAGGTATTAACTGAAGGTGGCAAAAAGTTTCTATGTAGCATTTAAAAAAAAAGTATTCGTAAAATTTAATGTAAATTGTTTTAGCAAAAAATCTATATTGAACAGAAAATATGTCTGTGTCATTATGGCACTGTTAATTTTTTTCCTGTTCTTGTTCAACATAGGGCCTGTAAGTCTCGTTTACTTTCACTTTCGTTTTTAAACTTCCGGGTACCTGAGCGTTCTTGGAGACAATGGATTACTGTTTCGCTTTAAGTTGTAAGCATCGCAGTGGAATTATAAAACTAGTTTGTTTTGATTCACGATTGTTGCAAAGAAGAGGAGAAAATGGATTGATAGATGCAGGTAAATAGCGTTTAATTGCTTTATTTTTTCATTACATGACGTAAACACAAGCCATTCTGAGCGGACCAAGATTAGCCAACATACTTAAGTATAAAGGGAAAATTAAATCGTTTTAATGCTAAAATAGTCTGTATTCAAAAGGTAAGCTTATCTACAGATTGGTTTCAGAAATTTATTGCATTTATTTAGCTTACAAGGGTCTATTTTGGAGTATTGGACAGGTGTGCATGAGATCGGGAATGCATCGACCATGGGAATACAAAGTTGATTACCACGTCGATAACACATGATCCTTGTAGAGTTTTTTTTAATTTGATTACTACAATGAATAAAAATGGACAGCTCATTCTGTAGTCTACCCTGTCTACATGGTCTATCCAGAAATAAAAATAGTCACACACACTAAAAAAAAATCATTTTTTATTCTACAAAAAAGAAGGTATTTTTTTCATGTACACATATTAACTGCCAAGCTTCATGACACCCTTCCCCCCTTTCCAATACTCCTACAATTATGACAGATATTTTTCTTGAAATAGAATTTTTCTCCATATGTCATTATATATTACAGGGCTGCACAAGGTACTGAAAAAGGGACAGTGCTTTGAATGAATGTGTTATCCATGTATCTGGAAATGAAGCAGATCCCAGTTATTACACTCGTAAACAGTGTGACAACTTCCAAGAAGGCTCCATCTAAATCAGGTACAGGTCAAAGTTTTGGCTGCACATTTCTTTTACAATATTCAAAACATAATAATTCAGGATCAAGTTCACACAAGCTCACATACCATGGTTACTCTCAGCACCATAATGCTAGTTAAATTTTTCTATACTTTCCTGTTAAATAGTCAAATTTGGTTTAAAAACATTTGTTAACAAGTACTATCACCCTACTGCATGCCAAACATTACATCCCAATGGTTGAAAATGCATGACTAAGGGTAACAGTATATTTAAGGAATAACTGTCTAATTTTTTGGTTTCATGATGTGATCAGTCGAGTGGCTTGCGTGATAATTTGCATAAACGCCAAAGGCATTTATGCATAAAAATTATCACGCAAGCCAATCGATTGATCATCGTCATGAAACTAAAAAATCTGACAGTTATTCCTTATATATACATGCTCTTGATCCTGCAAATTCACGTGCTTCAAGCCCCGCTTCTGTCTCTATTTGTCCCGCTCCACAAGTGATTTTTTTTTCACCACGCCTATGGATGAACCAGTAGATCGATGTAGAAATAAAGTATTTTTACCATTTGAAATTTTATCTCGGACAAAGACATTGGAAATGTAAATATATAGTAATAAAGATTGTTGGCTGTGCAGAATGTTTGCACGTTCGTTTCACTTTGATGTTTTCTTTCAAATGCATTCTAAAACAAGAAAAATATTATTTGTTTATTTTGGGTAATGTGAAATTGTTACCCCTTGAAAACCAATGTTCGCCTCGGTCAGCGATGGTTTTTGAGGAATAACAATTTCATGTTATCCTAATAAACATGTAATATTTTTATGTTATATGTACTTCTATTTGTAAATATTTATGACTGCGAAAAACATAAATATTTATAAATTAGTAAAATCAATTTAATACACTGTAAATACACAAAAGGACAAATTTGTATATAATTCTCTATGATTTGGTTAATTAGTTTATATAAAGGATGTAAATGGGGCATGACATATCATTGTTTATATTCAAGAAAGTGTTCACAGTTTTTCTTGTAGATGCTCCTTTCCATCTGATGTTTTCTAGGTTTTTGTGAAAAGTTTTCTTAAAAATGGCACCATTCAACTACAAATACTATGCCGGTGGAACTGTGACATCAATCAACTGCTCATGACACTGCTAACTGCCAGAGAATTTTTTTTTTGTTTCATTTGGGACAAACATTTTACACCTGCAAATT